ATAATTTAATTATCTGATTTATATTAATTATATAAATCAGATAATTAAATTATTCATTCTTAAATCATTATAGGAATTCTACTATAAAAAATGTTTTATATACAGTATATATACATTCCATAATGTATATGTTTAATGTATATCTAATTGGTTAATTGCTGGAACAAAACCCAGAAACTCCAGGCCCTTTCTAGACACTACCTAGATCAGATCGTCCCTCTACACTGAGCCAGGCAGCTGATTAGGAATGCCATCCTGAGTTCAGGTGGCCGGAATGGGAGAAAATGACATAGATGTTGTTGACTCATGGACTTTTTATAAAGCAGGCTTATGTGGCAGTATGGGAAATCCATCTCAGTTCCTGCATAGCATTTAAATGACACCGCAGACCTGTGGTGTGAGACATGGATTTGAAACATGGGTTTGAAACCTGTGAGCAAGTCCTACAGCTGCAGGACTGCAGAGGGAGGAGGCAGGCTGGCATGCTGCATGGAAAGATAAGGAAAGAAATTTTCAGGACGCTATCTTCTGCACAGAAATCACCTTTAATTATCACTCCTCAAGGAAAGCATCATGTCCACTCTAAAGAGATTTTCCACATGAAAATGATAGGAAGTCATCTATGTATTCCTCAGTTAGGCTCCAGGCCACCATGACCCTAAACTGGATAAGCGATTATTGAAAGGGATGATGTTGATAATGATAGGAAGACTTTACTGATGTAGAAACAAAAAGAGCATTATTATATCAGGAGGGAAAAAAATATGCTAATTAAATTGGTTCTCAGTGTCAATGTAACTGATGTAACAGTGTATCAATACATCAGTGTGACATTCTTCAATTCCATATTCAGAATGAAATTATGGGTTTGAAAACATAAATTTAAATAATAATAGTATCAAAAGCATTGGAGTACATTTCATTTGCTTAGTCTGATTAGGGAAATAGCTCAGATCTTCAATTAGTTCTGAAAAAAATGTGTTTTTCCCCTATATGATTTAGGCTAAACTTTTCATATCTTTTTCATTTGTCCATTCCTGTTTTTACAGATTTACACATTCCTGTTGCTTGGTAACCAAGAAAGAATAGATCAAATTTAGAATGACTGCAGTAGACCAGAAACTGTGATTTTGCCTGCAAAATTAAAGTATGTTTACATTCTCCTATTTCGTTTTATCTTTTTTTCCCCTGTCTTTTTCTGCTGTGGCGCCCTGGCTGGTTGGTGCAGATTGTGTGTCGAGCCTGCTCCAGAAACAAGTACCCTCTCAAGTACCTCAAAGACAGAGTTGCCAAAGTGTGTGACCGCTGCTATGCTGAGCTGAAGAAACGAGGTACAGTGTCACCCATTCAACTTGATATTCATCAGCACGAGAACCTGAATGCACTCAATGTGATCTATACACAAAAAATATAAAAGGGATGCCATAGGACTGCTTCCTCCTTACCTCTGATCTTGTGAATTTGCACATATAAATATGAACCAACTTGTCATCAAGCATGTACTGTATTTTATTTTGGTTCCAAATGATTTATGCACTGAATTTGCTCAGAATAAAGTTGACCTTTGAAGATACCCACTGAAGATTGTAGCTCAAGAACAATGTTGTTTAACTCTGATCTTCTTTCTCAAAGAAGACCTTTCAGTTTTTGGATCTTGTTTTCCTATATACAGTACGTACAGTACTTGTTATCTTGTTTTCCTATACATAGTATATCACACCATAAAACTTAAAAGCAATCGATACCAGTTTGCCTTTGAATTTTTCTAATACAGGTTTCTTTTAATTACATCTAATTCAGAAATAGTAATTGTATTTCTAAATATGTATTTAACTCAAACTCAAATTGCGGACTTCTGCCAATATTCTGTGAGAATTTCTTTTAAAGTTTTTAAGAGGTGCAATGTCAAGCAAAACTGTTAGAAATCCAGGTCATATTTTCTAAGCTTTTTTTTAAAATAATAATTTAACCTGAAATAGTTCTGAATCATCTGCTTCAAAGGACTTGTTCAGTCAAGAAAATCTGCCAGTTTTATGAATTGGCTGAAAGCAGAGTGAAACTGTTAGATTGTGTGCAGGCTGTAAAACAGCTTCTCCCATTGACAGGTGGAGTCTGTCCCGGAGCAGGAGAGAACTCCAGTCACCAGTCAAACAGATTGTCTGGACGACCGCTCTCAGCTGTCTTTCAAAATATCCACCCCCCGATTCTGTGGAAGAACAGAAAATCTTCCTCTGCCCTTACTCAGGTAAAAACCACACCGTTATCAAGTGGATAAACTCCCTCTGAGTTTTAGAAGTACAGATGCAAGCCACACTGTTCCCCTCCAGATAAAACAATAGTACAGCGGAGTCTACAAGAGGGAAATAATATACAGTATTGTTCTTGTACATCATCTTTGTGTATTCATCCATTCCTCCAACCTACCTTGCTCGCATTGGCTCTTTTAGAAGCTACAAAATCCTAAAACATCATCCATCCATTTTGCAAAGGAGTTTGGGCTTTTAGTCAGCCCCCTCAAAGCTGTAAATTGATCGAATAATAGCATCTCTGCTATCACTCAGGTGAAATGCCATATAAGGGTTAATTAAATGGTGATACATTGTAGAAGTCACAAAATAACCTCTACCTTTCACACCGATTCAAAGCCCAGTTTGAATAATAGTATCACTATGCTATCCATGGACCCGATTAAAGACGATACTCTGGTTTCTTTAAAGAAACGGCAAAATTAGATCTTAGGATCGATTTGCTACTAATTACTAAATGAGTTAGATGGTTAAATGCTGTCTTTTTTTCCTTTTCATATGTTATATTCATTAGACCCAATGATTGATGTTAGCAGTTAGCATGTTTTCATTCATTATTTTCTTTCTTAAGTTATGTTTCTTGGATTTTTTAAACAGCCCTGTTTTTACTGATTTTAAAATGGTGAATAATATGACTCCATCATTCCAAATACTAAGACCAAAAAAACATTAACATGAATAATTATGGCCATGCTGCCTTCCATCACAAGAGGGTGACAAATTCAAAGGCTTATTTCAGATGTTGCTTTACTGGCAATTTTACAGCCATCAAATAAGCTTTTGTTTGTTCTGTACATCATATACTGTATATACACACGTCTTCAGCTTTAAATACTTTTATTCAGATAAGTTACAATGGACATGGAGCCTTTGCTGATACCAGAATAATACTGTATATCCCTGTCCTATATTACATTTCTTGTACATGTAATTTATAGCAGTTAAGATGAGTTTTGAAAGATTTCCCTTAGCTGGAAGGAGAGGGATGGAGTACAATACTGTTTTTTTCCCTTTACATAACAAATTGTGGGAATCTGGATCTAGCTTCCCAGCCATGTATCGCAGCCAGTTGGATCACATCTTTCACAAAATGGGATCTTCAGCTCAATTAGTTAGCAAAACCATATCTTTCAAATGTCTTTCATTTGCAATTCTTTCTAGAGGGCTTTTCTATGTTCTTCTTATATTTTAACATGATTTCTAATGCTTCTTCTTATATCCACACTTTTGTTCCTTCCAGCTATCATCTTATGTTCTTTCTCATGTTATTTCTAGTGCTCCTCCTTATGTTCACACCTATGTTCTGTCTTATGTTCTGTGTATGCTTTGTACTTCTGTGTTTAGTTATTTCTAGTTTCTTCTTATGTTTGCACTTACCTTCATAAGATTGTGTTTCACATGTGGGGTCTCCTCTGTGTTTGCAGGTGGCAGCTTCAGCAGAGGGATCATCGATGAGTGGCTCTCTGCATCGCTGCAAGAGAAGCAGGCGGACCTGGAAGAAGCTGTTTTTCCTCATCAAAGATAAAGTGCTCTACACATTCTCAGCCAGTGAGGTGAGGGGGCGGTCTCTCATCTTTCCTCACATGGAGTTCGATCAACAATCTGACCCTTGAAGTCACAATCCTGATGATTGTTGAAGGAAATGCATTTGCCCACTATGTTCTAAGAGATTAACAGAAGAGCAATTCATTAGGGGGGAACTGCAGTCCCAGGTTCTCAGACCGGTTATCAAATCTCGGTATCAAAATAAATTATTTAAAATAAAATCATAAATTTTGTGAAAGTACTGTTAAGTTGCCATGCTGTTGCAAACTTGGCATTAGAGTTCCCATGAAGAATTGCAACATGATGCGGCCTTTCCTGTTCAGTAGTCACCGTAATGTCTAATGTAATGCAATGTACGAGTGAATTAGTGCACATTGTGCAGCAGACATTTCACCTGTTCCAACGTGATCTGTGTGCAGAGTTAACAAGTAAGATGTATTTGTCGGCAAAACTGTCTCAAAATCTAAAGCAATATTTCTATTGGATTAAAATATACTGTATGTATTCACAAGCTTGCTTCTTTACAATGTAATTAGGCCATAATACAGTACATCACCGGATGTTGCCTTGCTGTGAATCACAGAACATGGCTCTGTACATACACTGTCTATTTTGTAATGTAAATTTGATGTTTTACAATTTACCATGTACATTTTACTTTTAGCGATTTGAAAATCAGTCATCAATGCTGATTCTTTCTAACTGAAATATAAGAATAGCATTGCAGTTCCCTTTAACTTTCATTTTGTAAAACCGAATATCAGTCACTTCATCTCTGATTTCTTTTTATTATTTAAAAAAAAACAAGAGTGGTCCCACTGGACTGGAATTGAAATAAGCAGTCATTGTGGTTGCTACAGCCTCCAAGAGGTAGGCCTGAATGAACCTCAAATTTTGACCCACCTTCCAGTCATGATTTGTCAGCCAAGTGAGGTGGGTCAGGTGGGTGAAAGTGTTGATTAGTTCTGGACCCTCCAAGGATATTTTCCACAGAGACTTACAATTTCCCTTCCAGGTCAAAAGGTGGGGAAGGTGTTCAGAGATTAACACCTCTCTCTACTCTACAGGATAAAGTGGCATCTGAAAGTCTGCCTCTTCTGGGCTTCACAGTGAAACAGCCAGAGAAAGCTGAAGGAGCTGAGGCAACCATGATGTTTCAGCTGTACCACAAGAAAACCTTGTATTACACATTTAAAGCAGAGGACTCATACACAGCACAGAGGTCAGCTCAGCATTTGTTTATTTTATTATTTATTATTTTATCTAGCTCCCTTAATCTTTTCTTTAATTAAATATAAATTCTAAATGCCTTTTAATACAAGTCTTTTTGAACAGCAAGTTGTGTTCATGTCGTATTATAAAAATAGGATTCTAAATGTAACACTTTTTTTTCTTGGAATATGAACATATTTCTCCTAGTAAGAATGGGAGCAATTTGTGTCTTTACATCTTATCTCTTAGTGTGGTTATAACTTAGTTCCCGAAACAGATTGCATGGCTGTCTTATGTATTCTTAACTGCAAATATAACTACGTAAGAAAATATTCCCTGTTCACTCTGTATTACATACGTCAACTAAAATGTTTTATTTTAAACATGTCTTGCAGATGGATTAACGCAATGGAGGAAGCTACTGTATTATAGCACTGGGTATCTAAACAGCCTTGGTTCATGGTTAATGTTATTCTTCATTATACATTCCTCATGGTGCAAATGTGGTTGTACAACCTTGGGCTGTTATTTAACATTTGTAAGAAAACCAGCACCCCAACAATGAATGTGAAGAAAACAAAGTTTCATTTGCCTTGAATCACTACTCACTTAAAGAAGCCTGACTCAAATGGAGTGTAACTGTATTTGGTTTTATTGTCAGTGAAAACACTCAACTGACTTGTCCATTCTCTGTGTTATGCAGAGCCCATTCTGTGTTCAGTGGCTCAGCCAGTACGTTACAGTATGTGTCTTTGTCCCAGGAGGCAAAATGGCCTAAATGATGACTTACGATGGCTCTGATCCGGACTCAAGAAGCTTAAGTAAACCATGCTGGCACCACAAATAAGGAACAAGTAAAAGTCAATCCCATGCTTAAAAGTAGAAAGAATAAACGTTTCTGCTGTTGAGCCTTCTTCTAATGTCCTCTGCAAATAAGGCATATTCAGTACAGAGAAGTAGACATTATACTGTATAGAAAAGTCACTGCCTTCAACATTTTGGGATCTTTTAGACTTATTCAACATGCCTTATTTCACATCTTAATACTTACATCTCCCCTCCATGTCATTTTCTAAGAGAGTGTATTTTGAACTTGGGGTTGTCGTACACATTTTCATGAACAGTTTTATGATAAATGCTATATTGGATTGTAAATATATCTAGAAATATACAGAAAGAAATGTCAATAAGTCAATCTTAATTCTAAGTATAGATGTAATTAAGTTCTTTTTTTATAATCAACTTGTCTGCTAAAAAAAGAAGTCTGTGCACTGCCTGCTTTAACTTCAGAGAGTAAGGATTCTGACTGGAATCTGAAAGATCTTTAAACAAGACTGCAGGCATCTGTTCAAAATGGCTAGAAGATCATTTTCTTTTCCTTTCAAAACCTTTACATTATTTCTGGAAAAATTTATACAGTTTTTTCTCGCTTCGATCTAAAAACACTCCCAGCTGCACTGCACGAACAAATTGGGAGATAATGTAGGGCACATTCTATTTATGTACACAAACAAATTTACTGTTTCAGTTCCCAGGCTCTTGCACAAATGTAAAAGGGTACATTTTTTAAGCAAAAGAAAGTAAAGGAATGGACAATATAAATATGCAACACAAAATTAATATATTTCTTATGAGCATACTTATTAGTATGTGATACACACATACAGTACAGTACACATCCACACATGTGAACAAATATTAGTGAGTGATGCTTCTGATGTATCTGTGACTGCTTTTTTCAGTTATCTGAGTATAACACTCTTTATGTACTGTAAGTGAATTGTTTTCATCCTAATCTAAGGTTCAAACACAAACATGAATAAGCACCAAAAGGAAAATGTGTTTTAGAAAAGAGCACAATTTAAATTCCATGGCTTCCTATGGGTTAAATGGTTTGATTGACCAATTGATATTTACCTAATACGTATCATTTATGTAGAGTTAGAGTTCTAAAGCTACAGATGTTTCACAATAACTTCTTGTAAACACTTCCAATTCTGCTGCTTCTACGTTGTTAATTACCTACAGTCCCCCATATCAAAGATCAAGCCTCACATGTCCATTAAATTTGTGTTTCTAAAATATATAGGAATACATCATTTAAAATATTCTGCTTTTTCAGTCCCATAAGGCATTTGGTGTTCTCTGGGATGTGATACTGTATGTATCACATTCATTCATTCATTCGTTTCATTCATGTATTCTATATTTAAAATACGTCCTATGATATTTTAGGTGTTGGTTCAAAACTATCTGTTCAGAGTTGGGTTTGAATGCATGTGATAAGAAGATATATGGCAAATAAGAATTTGAATTGGCAATTGGTTGTGTATAATTGTCTTAAACAGGATGCTGTTGAGTGGTCTTAAAATCTTGACCAATGCATTTTGGCAGTCCCGGTACAATACATCAGGGCTGACTCAAGTCCTTTAAGGTTTATACAGGAATGCAAACCAGGGCTCGAGCTAAATCAGAAATGTGTGAAAGTCCTCAAATGCATTTGTCTTTACACTTTAAGCTTCAGTTGCAAGCACCATTGTATTTCTAAAGCAAACACATTTGCATTTGTATGATCTGGAGATATGTCTTGCGATTTAAATGCATTCGAGCACAGCCCTGATCCATATCTCCACCCATCTTCACTTAGTTGTTTTTCATCACAAGCTCCATCTTTTTTATTGCAACATTTTCAGTCCATCCCCCCATCTTTTTACCCTACAGGATCACAATATTTGCTTGCTTACAGATTTTCTTCCCACCTCAGGCTTTATATTCACATTATGTCATTTATTTTCCACTTGTCATATCTGTAGATTTTGTCCTTTCATCCTTGCATGTCCCATCTTTTTCAATTTCTCCTTTGCTTATTCATCATACAGTACATCTTATTTTCGTCTCGTTTTAAGCTTTTTTTTATGTTGCAGGATGTCTGTTTTAGCAAGTGAGTGACGTAACACAAAGCTTTAATTTTGAATGAAATAGACCTTACAGAGCTTATATGACACATTATGAATCGCACGTTAGTGTTTCTGATGCCTTTAGCGATGAATAAACTGCACTGCAGTGAAGTGGTAAAAGCAGGAAATGGTATTGTCAGGCTGGAGACCTGTGGACTTTCATTTCAGAAGCAAAAATCAACAATGGCTCTCTTTGAGCTTTACGATCAGTGCCTTCCTTTGTTTTGCCTCATGAACAAAAACCTTTTTATCGTCAGATGCATCTGTGCTCCGGATTATCCATTTTATTTTCATTTTATCAGCAGCTACATTCAAAGCTTAAAGGTTTATTAATAGGTATTAAAGAAGTGCCACTACCTTAATCACACTTTTAGCTGGGCCAGTTCTTTATTTTACTATGTTTTACTATGCAAGACTTTAATGCAACACATTCAAATTAATCTTTCCTTAGAACGTTAACAAATTAAAGCATGGTTGTATTAATATAAATGATATATGATATTAATATGTGATTTTTATTATTAAAAGAGCATTTAAGGCCTCAGCTTGGGCCGTTAGTTACAGAGCTTAAGTTCTAATTCTGTCTTTATCAGGAAGAACTTTTTTAGAAAATTCTCAAGATCTCTGTGATAAAAGGTCAAACTACACTTGTCAGTATTAAGAACAGTTTCCCCTGAGATGCTCAGATAATATATTTTTCCTCTCCATTGAGTACAATCAATATGGAGTCTTCTGGGTTGTTTTTATATAATCACAAGCTTAGCTATTTGAGCCAATATATTGTGGCCTTTCAATGTGTATAAATATCACGTGAAAGATCAGTACTTCTTAACCAATTAACTCTTGGTTGTACAGTATACTGAATATATTCTATAGTTGTTATAGGTACAAACTTAAAAAACAGACATTATCATATATAGTTTTGAAGTAATACAACCAGTTGCCTTATTTAATAAATCTTTCAGGTGTGTTGTTCAGGTCTTCTTATAATAACACAAGAAAGACAATAATTAGAATTATTTCTAAAACATTTAAATCAATGTTTATATTATTTTTCCCATTAATGAAAAATATTTTTTGTGTCATAACACTAAGAATTTTAGTGAGTTCTTTAGTAATTGAAAGGCATTTTGTAAAACACTTTGAAAAACGTCCCCTTATTTTTATTGTTAAAGTGAACATCTTTTTTTCTCAATTTCTTTTGTTCTGTCTGTTCCATTTTGTCATTGTGGTGAAAAATATACGGTATATATATTTTAATTTTCTCCAACTTAATGTATTGTATATACTGTATGTTTTGATTTTTATGACAGATTAAAGTTTCCATATTTCTGTAAAATAAATAACAACAACAAATCAACCCAAGAATGTTCTAGTTTCTTCAGCCACCACAAGTGCTCATTTAAATTGAACTTTTGCATTTTCATGCAAAGAGACTGTGTTCTTCTTCATCATATCAAAACAAAAAAGCCTGACTCAGGGCTCTCACTTCCTCTCCTATTTTTAACTGAGCACAACTCTTACAATATTGTCTCCACCCACCTTGCTCTCTATTCTCTTATTTTCCCCCTCTGTTTTGCCATAAAAAATATTTTTGTCCCTATATTTCCATGCAGTATTGCTGTTAGGTACTGTTCTTTTTGTATATACTTCATCTATTACTTATTAATTATGTATTCTGTCTATTCTCACACATATGTGTAACAGAAATATCCTTCTACATCTGGAGCTGTAGATGTTCCAGCTCATGATTATTTGAAATATGCTTTGTGAGGTCAGATAGCTGTGCAATTACAAAAGTAATTTTGCGCTCAATGTATTTGGATACTGCCTACTGGTATGTCTTTGTCTTTGGCTCCTTGCCGGTACAGGTGCTATCATTTGATTCTGTACTCATTAGATCTTTGCAAGGAGATTTTCAGAGCTTTTCATTACAAAGATAAACTTGATCTTAATTTGCAAAAGGTCAACGAGATGCCTGTCAAGGTGGAGGGAGAAAAAGAGTTTGGTGAAAGAAACTGGCACACATTTTGCTCAGGAGTGGAATACTTTGGAAATTGTTCTGTCAGTTTAAGTCCTTACTAGGTAAAATAACAACATTTTAATATACATGGTGAAGTTAGAGTGAATAATTGTAACTGCTGTGAAAATACATTGTACTTTCCTTTATTAATCTGTCAGAAGCAAAATCCTTATTTTCCTAAAGATGTTTTTCCATTTTGATGTCCACATGCTACTATCATGTTATATTCCAAAACAGAACTCTTGTATTTTGTTTTTGAAGAAGGAACTGATGATTGAATTTAGTACATAAAAAGAGTGATAGGAAGCAGACTGTTCTTGCAAAGAGCTATTTTGCCCAGTTTGCTCATTTCAAAAGCATTGTTTTATTACCATATTTATTTTCAAGTAGCATGTAATTTTGACTTCATTTCATGATGGTGAAACTGCATTCTTGTCCCACACCTGCAAACAAACATGCAAGACAATATATTAAACTAAAATAAAACTAAATCATTTATTGATAATTATTGCTTATTTAAACCCCTATTCCTGATAGTTAAGATGATATTTCTAACAGGTCATAGGTGGATTAAATGAATATTAGGCACAATCCAACCTCTGATGAAATTAGTTGTAGTTTTTTTGTCTTTTGCTGGTGTAACAAGAAGAGGTGTGAGTGCTACTATTTTGTTTAGTAAGAAAAAAATCCCTAAATTCCATATTATAATATCTTTTTTTTCCCCAAATCTCAACATCCTTCTTAAACCGTGTTTTCCACATATAAAGATGCATTATCCCAATGAGGGAAAGAAGCTCACACAACAGAGAAAGCATTTGGATAGTGTAATGAAAAGTACCCTTTTAAGCTTAATCTGTGGGCAAGACTCGATACACAGAGTTATAAAATACTTCTATATCTTTGCATGCCATGTAGTTTTGTGCCATGCACTTTGAAGACAACAGAGCTGATTCTTGATATATATGAAAAAAAAATGTAAAGGCTGATGTCTGTATCTAGTGTACATTCACTAACAGTAGGCTACACCTGCTGGAGGCGTTGGACAATAAAAAACATTTACCAGCCTGCCAATCAAGACAGTTTCATTTATTGGCACAAAAGAGCCGTCACATCCAACATAAATGCGACTCCATAAGACTGGTTGCCAAGGAGACTCACTGTGCAAAATTTGCCATGTATTACTTAGCAAGTGGAGAAAATGCCTTACAAATGTAAATTTAATTTGCTCACTCCGTGTGTTGCTGTCATTCAGTAAATCTACCTATTTTCAAAAAGAAGTGCAATAGCTGTTGCGCAGAAGTGATTTGATTTGGTTACCTTATAAGACCTCACTGCTACTTGCCTGCCTGATGCTGGAATGTATAGTATATTAGCTGAAGTGGGGAGTAAATAAGTCTGAGAAGTGAAGTGTTGCCCATTCATTGTTATCACATTTACTTGTTAACATGATATTAAAGCAATGGACTAATGTTTCTCTCTTGGAAAATGGCTAAAAGAAAGATGTAAGGTGATAAAGTGTTAATTCAGACTAAGGGTCATATTAAATCAAATGTATTCTATTCATCTTGGGTTTAGTTTGCTAGAGGCTTCTTCCTTTCATTTATTGGCAACCCTCAGTCCCACTATCTTGTACTAGGTTTAAGGCTTTTTTAAATATTGATTTCATCTGATTACAAGGGGTGTTACAAATTCACAAAAAGTGAAGCAGAACGCTGTACATTTTTTGTTCTTCTCATCATAATGCTGTCCTGTGCTTGTACAAAATTCCATACCCTCAAAAGCTTTTTTCAAAATGTGTGTTCTAAATAGAAAAGAGATAACTGACCTACCTTCCACAGTTGATTTTTTTATTAATAGAAACTTATTTTAGAAATAGCTAGGAAAAACCATCTTTAGCCACCTAAAAGCAAAGCTGTAGTACAGAAATATAGGAAGCCATTGAATTCTGTTGTTAACAGAAGAGTTTTCTCCAACTAATATATTCAATTCGCTCTGAAGGAATTCTGTTGGTGACTTTGTAATGCTATCATGATTCCTTTTGAAGACAAGTGCACCATTTAGCATAAGCAGATTTGAAGACTATATTAAGATTTATATTTTTATGATATAAACCAAGTGCCAAAACAGGTCAGGCATGTAAATCTCTGATCTCAGCCAGTATGGGAATGTTTATTTAAGAAATGATAAAGCACAGGATGTATGCTTGGAGAATACAGACAAATGCAGTTTTTCTGTATTTGTGATGTTGTCTCTTTAGTGTTATGTACTTAACTTTTAAAATGGCCTTGCATATATTGAGTTTTAAACTAAAAAAAATAATAATTTTGCTTTATTTGCATTGACAAAGACAGATATGAAAACAAGGAATGTAATTATTAATTTTGTGCAGATTTTCTGAACCCTTGTTTCAGTCAATGCTAATGTACTGAGATCTGGTAAAGAATCAATGAGTATTACAGAGAAACATGAAAATATTTTGTTGTAAAAATAATTAAATAATGGAGTTTTGTCTAAAATTGTCTGTGTGTGTGTGGGGGGGGGGGTAGTAAAGTAAAAGAAAATAAAATAATGTATACTGTCTTTTTTTTTCAGAAAAACAACTCTCAGTTGTGAATAGCAGAATGATGCAATAGCACGTGAATGATTGATGTCCACCATTTTTTTCATGTCCAGATAAATCCTTGCAGATAAAAATGAGAGCCCAACATCTTTTTTGCTTAGGTCACTTTAGTGCAGTTGAAAAGGGGTATCCATTTCACTCCAACATAACATACATTAAAATCTTATCTAGATCTCATTTTGTATTTCCATAGTATACATTGTGATGGATGAATAGCTTCATCTACTCATCCACCCATCCATTATCATAAAGCCGCTTATTGCTGGTAAGTGTCATGGCAACCTGGAGCCTATCCCAGAAGCACAGAGTACTGGGCGGGACTACATCCTTGACGGGATGCCAGTCCATCAAAGGACACAGACTCCCAAGAACACAGGGACAATATTGAGACGCTAATTGGCCTACCCAGGATTTTACTGCAGCATTAATAGGAAAATACACTTAAATGGAACAGCAGAGGATTTTTCTATCAATGTTACACCTCCTTTCTTTATAATTTGGTGTCTGTGTAATGAAAAGGGCACATGTATTACTTGGACTCAAAATATACTGCGATGCACTTTCTGGCTTTTGAACAGAAATCACTAATTAAATGGTTGGTTGACTGAAGTACTACACTATTAAAGGCCGTTACTTTTTTTTTTTCTTGCAATCCTTATTATTATTATTATTATTGTTATTATTATTCTGTAACTAATGAATCTTTCTATGTCTCTTATCTGAGATATTCCTAGCATATTTCTCTGGTAGGATCCTACAATCCATTTTGCAATGAGGCAATTATGAAGGTACTGTATGAAACTGCTCTTTGTAACACACAGATCTTGCTTCATTAACACCCAGCTTCACAAGAGGAAAGAAAGAAACTGAAAACTAAGTTTTAATGCTCAGGGCTAAAAACAAGACATTTATTTCTGACTGAGAAAATAACACACTGATTCCTCACTTCCCAGGAACATAATTACTTTTTGTAAGTTATTAAATTAAACCTCCCAGTGATGTCTTCAATAGATGTTTTTGCTGTGCATTTACTTCCTCTGTATATTCACTTTCACACTTTTGTGCTAAGTAAAAAGAATCATCCTCCTTAACCATTTCCTCCCTGAAATTGATATGACCCACTCCTTGCTAAGGGCAGAGCTCATTATCTTTTGTCTGGGAGGGTCATCCCTGGACAAGCTGCAATACAGGTACAGTCGCAAACCTACCTCACATATTTTAAGCCCCGGGTTCGATTCTGTCCCTTTCTGTATGGCATTTGCACATTCTCCTCATGGCTGTGTGGATTTATTTCTGGTTTCCTCCCACAATTCAGAGATTTAGTGGCTAGGTTAACTGACATCTCTAAATTGTGCCCATTTGTGGCTGTTGCCTTCAATGGATTGGCACACTGTCTAGGGTGTATCCTGCCTTGAGCCCACATTTGATGGAGTAGGCTCTGGGTTACTGCAACCCACTATGTGACTGAGCAATTATTGAACATTTAATTGCTGTTCCATTTAATGTTCCCTCTAAACTTATTTTTAATTCAAGCTGTTACATGTTTCACTCCAAGTTAATGTTTGTATCACATTCTCTCCACTTTCAGTGACATTTTCTATCGGTGTAATGTACAGTATTTAGGAGTTAATCAAAAAGGGTTGCTAACATGCTCATGTGTGTGTTAACCTTTCCACTTTTCTAGCTACCACTAGCAAATTAAATTATTTTAATAGTGATGTTCATTTGTTGTGCATAGTTATTTTTGGGGGGCACCAGGGTAAGATCAAAATAGTTTACAATCACAAACAGCAAAAACTACTGAAATAATAAGACATCTTATTGAGATCTTAAAATCTCATTTAATTACATCGTGAAGTGTGACAATTTATTTTATAAAAATGATCTCTAAAAAAGAAATGTAAAATTCCTTCATGGTTAAGTGAGTTTTAATCTGACATGGTAAAAAAAAATACCACGAGGCTGTGGGATTTGGGGAATTCTTTGCCTTGGGATGCTTCTGCTTTTTCCCCCCGTTTTGTCATCAGTTCTGTCATGGAGAAGTACTGCGAAAAATAGATGTGTTCTCTATGCACATCACACAACCGCTTTTCCAGATCCTCCTTCTCGTTGTGGGCTCTCTCTTGACCTTGATATTTTTGCTAGTCAACGCCTGTTTTTTTTTTTTACTCTCACTAGGTCCTTCTAGAACTCCCAAACGCAAAGACAATATCCACTGACTCTCGCGTCCTTCCACACACACATAGGAAAAAAAAAAACTTGCATCATAAAGAATGAAAAGAAAGACATAGACGAATAGGTCGCGGCCAATCAGAGGCGGCCCACCCGTGGCAGACAGGCTGACGTCAGCGCTGTCTGGCTCTCGCTGCTCGGTGAGCGAGGAAGGAGAAGAGCGCTGGAGGAGGAAGAAGAAAAAACTCCCGGCACGCTGGCGGAACGGGGTCACGAACTATGACCTTTCACAGAAGAAAAACAATAACAAATAATTTTTTAAAAACCTGAGAACTAAAAACAACGCTGTTTCCCCCCAGGAGGTAAGACTTCTCATCACTTTCATGCCCGTTTAATGGTATATTGAAACGCGTCGCGGCGAAAGGTGGTTAATTTCACTTTTAGTAGTCCCCCAGCTCCGGGAAGCTCTGCGCCAGGTCCGGTCGTTAAGGTTTTATAAACTGCTGTCCGGTCAGATTTTAGTTGAAACACTTAAATTGGAGATTTGGGAAGGAGTTCATGGGACAAACCCACGAAAACGCGTTTTAGTACGCGAAACGAAGGCAGACGGGAGAGTCGGGCTGCGTTTGGTTTAAGACGCATCTGAACCCGACCCTTTTACCTTTGCCATCCCGGGGACAGGGGGGCTGGTTTGCAGAGGTTGTATGCATAAACAGAGGCGGACGCAAGCCACTGTCTGCCAGGCTTTTCTCACGAAAAACGACACGTAGGACCACGGGCGTCTTGTGATTTTTACACGCATTTTTAAAATGCACACTTCAATGGCTGCTCGGCGCGACTTGGCGTTGTGCCAGATTCTCCATTTTGTTCTTTTTTTTTTTGTCTTTGCATGCGATTTAAACTCGGCAGGGACAGATTGTTGAAGCAGTCCATGCATCCCACCAATCGCATAACGCTTGTATGGTGGCTATGAAAGCTTAAAACACCAATGACAGAGGCCGTAATAACGCAGTGTAGGAGCGAGTGTGGCTGTATTGACCCCTCCCAATTTTCGAAAATATGTATTTTGCTGCTCCCGTGCAGAAGAATTCGTTTTGACGAATAATTTATCAGATTCTATTGCATGTCACTTGTGCTGCAATTGAAACCGCATTTTGTTTTTCAGAAGAGAGACTCGAGCAGTTATTAAGTGAATCGGTGGAGTAATCTGACAGGGCAAAGTTGTACGCCAAGTTTGAATTATGATTCTGATCCCCGTTAGCGAAATCGTTAGGTTTGATGTGTACAGCTAAAAAAAAAATGCTCTTGAATTAGAAACAACACAATTGTGTGTGATGAAGTAAAATCATCCCTCTTTTGGGAAACAAAAGAAATCGACCCGTTTGACTGCCGATGCTCTTTTCTATTACATGTACTATGTCCAGTCTGTTACAAATGAGTGTGCATTAAAGAGAACGAGAAAACAATTTACAGTAATTTATTGTCACGCATCTCGGTGAGTAGATGTATTTTTATTTTGATGAGCAAAAGAACTTGATGTTTAAGACCCACGAGAACCATTTGGCCTATTTCTTTTTCAGTTTCCCCCTAGAATAATGTATTAATGAAAGCTGTGGCATCTTACATATGTTGCCATCTTGATCAACTGTAAGGTGAGAGGCTGCTTGGTTTATTTGCAGCACTGAAGTGTGAAACTCTTGCCCTATGATATAATTCGTTTTGCACTTCGTTATATCAAGACTTTCTGTTTTCTTTGCAGTCTAACAGGATATAGCCCGTTATATATGTTTAAACACTTCATATATTTTCATTGTAAAATGTGTAATATCAAAGCAGAGCAGAGACTGGTTTATGGTTCTTTTGACCCTGCAGTCTATGATAAGTCATATAACACATCACTATACTATTGTTCACTGTAAATATATAGGTCTGTATCTGTGAATTAACATACACTCATCTGCTATTGATTTAGAGCTATACAGACAGTACAATCACACAGCTATAGTGTGGGAGCAAAAAAAACAGGACTGAATCCTATTTTTAAGATAAAAACTATGCAAAAGTATCATGAGCTTAACCAGAACAAGCTTGTGTCAAATTGTGGATATGGCATAATAAGCTGCCACACCTTCTGACAGATCTAATGCCTTTAGTGATACTAAAGATGTTTTATTCGTGAGAGGAGCTGATAATTAATTTTTTCCTCTGGTCTTTTTTTTTAACCACTAATCAAGAAATCTGTCAGCCTTGCGTGAGGTCAGATCCGAATTTAATATGCAAATTACATTTTATTGACTGAACCCTCTATAAGAGGATCCTGTGAAGAAGACAGCCGTCAGAAGAGATGTTAATGAATTTAGCAGTGTGCAGAATATTACAGATGGGGGAATACTATACGACGTTGTGAAAAGAAATCAGAGCTGACAAACGGAAGGACAAGGTCGATCCACAGGAATTACTGAAGTAGTGCGAGAAGTAATGGAAAATACTATAGACAACTAGTAGACAGTTGCAGAACTGGGTACAGACACTAAGCTTTGGCAGCAGAAGTACAAAGCTGGATAGAAGGCTGTGATGGAGGAATACCATACAGAAAGCAGCCAAGTGAAAATGACTTTGCATAATCCAAGGCCTCATATGCATAATACATCATTGCATTCATTATTAAAATGCATTGCAATGATTTCTTGCTGTTGTGAATGCTAGTGACTATACAGTGAAATGAACAATGTTTTGTGGTCAAGCCATGAATTCAAATAACAGGTGGGGAGGGCACTGCCACTTAATCCTTGAGCTTTACCCACATGATTTCAACAAAACCACTCATCTGTATACATGGTACCAAAATTTGGTTAAAAACTGATACAAGAATCAGCCAAATTAATAATAAAAATAACTTTAAAGTTCTTCAGTGTAGCACAGTGGAGGAATCGATTAGAGAGTTTAAAGAAGGTCCGTAGATTTTAATTCCTGCATTTAGATCTTCCATCTAGGGTTTCTAAATACTGTGGTTAATTCTTACTTTTGACCAATGAAAGTGTTGTAGGATACTGTAAAGAAGAACCATACCAGCATAATTTTGCTTTGGCTGATAGAAGCTGCTGGCTTCTTTCCAAACAGGTTTCGCTAATGATCTTGCATCGCCATGGCAACCAATATGGAGGTGCTAGCTCAGCAGATAGTGGACACAGAGCAGGTGGCTGAGGTGAGTGACAGATGATACAGTACAAGTTGAAACACCTTGGGCTTCATTAGGATGGATATTCACAATGCATAGTGGTGCTGTGGCATTTTGTTTAGGTCTCCCATACATCTTATTAAAAACTGTCTACCAATACAACACCGCTGCCAAATCTGAATCATGTCTTGGTATGATCTATGTGGGCAGATGAGCTTACTACAGTTAAGCTAGATATTACGGCTCCTGCAAAGTTGTTTTGTGGAGTCACGCAAAGCACAACATTAACGCATCAGTTAATGTTTAGTTACCAGATTTCACAAGCAATACATATATTTTAAGCACATCACTTGAATTAGATACTGTTGCATTGTCTCTTCCATGTTGTCCAGGTTGTGAAATTTTAAATTTGCCCAGACTTCTAAGTCATATTGTGATGGTAGATTAGGAATGCGCTGATCTACATGCTGCATCAGGAGTGACAGTGACAGCAAACCCGTGTTTCTTATCTTGAATCTGGTGTTTGAATACAACTTGTTGATGGGGTCTGGTGAAACTTTTCTTCCGACTTGAAACGTGAACCAAATAGACCTTGGCATGCAATCCTAAGACTGGCAGCATCATTCCATACAAACCTTTATTTTTTGTCTCCAGAATAAAATAGGGGAATTCATGAAGGGGGCAAGCCAGAAGAGACAGATAATGTAGAACAAAAAAAAGTCAGTAACGATATGAAATTAAGCGTGAATTTCTTAGGGGAGGTTCTGCATGCATTTGGTTGTCCCTCCGAGAGGATTGTTAACTGCAAATGCTGTGTGGTGTTTGAAAGCTTACTTAGCTCTTGAAACTTTCATGTGTAGGATTATAATTCTTTTAGGTTTCCTATAAGGAAATTGCTACTTAAAAGAAGGAAACGTGCCGATGGGAAGAGTGCAGTCTTACATTAATCTGATTCCAAGCAAGCTACAGTTAAATGGGAATTAACTGCTCAGTATAGAGTATATGCAGAATAACATGGAACTTTAATGGCCTTTAATGCCCTGCCTTGTTTGAGGTACCATTTTGTTAGACAGTAATTTTACTGCAGTGCTTTCTATTATTACCAACAAGGTGAGACTCATCTGACAAGACTATTATAGGCTTCATTAGCTTTGTAGGACATAGTGACTTCCTAACTGTCACCATGCTGTTTTGTTTTGCTTCCTGTTGCTTTTGTGCTGTCTCATCAACTTAACAAGGAATAGAAAAAAAAGAGGGGTGGTTTGGAAAGATCACGTTTCTGTCTTACGGAGGAGCCTGATGATTAAATTAACCTACAGATCATATATGTTTGACTCATAAGACAGACACGGGATACACTTTCTCGATCCAGTACCCAAAGCTGGATGGAAGACCTTGCATGTAAATACATAATTTTATTTGATGCAGTGCTGCGCTACAGAGAAAAAAATATTTTTCAGATTGCTAATACAATTTCGCTTAGTGAAGAAATTAAATGTGTTTCAATTGGAAACAATAAGCTGATAACTTCCGTTAAGGTCTAATTGAGCAGAAACACTTTTGTTTCTCCTCTGTGTGTAAGAGGTACATGTGTGTGCCTTTGATGGATCGACTCCCTGCCCAAGGTTCAAGGTTCAAGGTTCTGTTTTGCTCTTTAAAGCATCTGGAATATTATCCTCATATGAAATTAGTAGCTTTCTGATTATGATTGGGTTTGTAAGAGTAATTACATTGACCTGTGTTGTTTCCATTTTTCTGAACATATATATTAAGAAAACAAAAGGTTTTGTTTAGGAAAAAAAACAACAGAATGAAGCCTGCCATATATTATGTGATTACTGCTTGACCACATGGTTGTTTTATTTTTGATAGCGAAATGGTTTATAGTAAATTGTAAATGTTTTGTTTGTCTTTGAATGTTAACATTTATATTGTGACCCCATAGAGAAGGCACCCTGTTCATTTCTGTGAATAGTCCTGAGATGTGCTATGTATTAAATATTCTGAATTAATCAAGCCTGATAGATTTGCTTTGAAATGAATTCCAGCATGGCTGAGAACATAATTTCGTTTTTTATATTTGATGAATTATATTTGTTTCTTGTCTAATGTTGCTTTGTACTCCCAAGGATCTGCATATGATCAAGGTAATGCATCATGGAGCATTTATCCTAAGTATACGGGTTTAACAGATGTGTGTAATGTGGTGTGTGGTGTGACAATAATGAGTTAAGACTCATGGAAGTAGAATGTGGAGAAATAGTAGTGCTTTGCCTTTGCTATAGCAAGCAGGTGCAGAAGAGGTTCATTTATTTGTCTTAGTCTGGAATGGATTGTAGCAGAGAATGCCTAAATGTTTTGTTACTTTTCTTCAGCTGTTTTTGTTTTTTGTATCAGTGTTCAATACTCAAAGGCTGTGTGTTAGTGGAATTAGTTTCAAAACAAGCAAAGAGGATTGAATTTAAAATGGTTGAATAAACTGAATTTGAATAATAGACTTTTGCCTGCATGTAGGGAATGTGACTTCGGATTTCTGTTACATATATATTTATAAGCATTTTAAAGTCAAGGCTTCAGGTCTTTGAAATTAGATTCATTATGTAAGTTTTCGGTGTCTAGAAGTTAGTATTTTTGAAGTATGTGCTTCTGGACAGTGCTATTCCAGATAATTATAATGATGTATGCAATAAATGACGCTACTACTTCATGAAAATTGGAATATTTCCATGTATACAAATGAGTTATCAGCCATGGATTAGCCATTCTTTGTCTGGTATAATAAGCTTGCATTTAATACCTGTCTCTGGGGAGCAGCTATGAGCAGCAGAGATGCTATGATTTGTCTTTGAGCAGGAACAGCAGCATGATTTTGCTCTCCTGCTGCATGAAATTTCCCTTCAAAATCAATTCCTTAGCCTGTTTTAATTTTCACAGTTTCAATGGACTTGTAATTTGAATGCTGTTTTAATGGATTTATTACCAGGAAACCTGTCAGGAGTTAATTTTGACTATTTACAGTTTCCATTAGCAAATAAGTCCAAAAGGGAAAATAAAATGAGCTAAATTCAGCTGGGAATTTATAGGTAAATATGCCATGTTTCTTGCTTTCATTGCATTATTTCTTTACCTTATTAAAATAACGTTGATTGCCGTATGAGTTTAAGATGGAACAGAAAATCTAACCCTTTTTGTTCCCTGTAAAAGACCCCACTGTATGAATAACCTCCCCTGGAAATCCTGCAGGTGAAAATATCCAGAGCCACGGTGACCTGAGCTGAATCTCCCCAGATGAAATTAATCACATTATTAGACAAATTGCCTCAGCAGCTGGCAAAATAGGAGGAACACGTCGATTCTGCTTCCTTGGTTACCAGGGACTGATAGTGCACTTGACCTTCAGAGGAACAGGGTCACAGAGAGGGCATATTTGAACAATTCTGTCTGCTTTTCTGGGCTCTGTACTTTAAGCATATGGACAGCCAAAACAAGGATTATTATTGCAACCCAGCTGATAAAGCATTTATTTGGACATCTGGCTTTTTCATCTTGAAACATTTCACTGAGAAATATATGCCGTCCTGCAGAAGGCTTCTGACGCTGTAAGTACTGTAACCTCTACGCAGCCTTTCAGTTCCTGGAAGCACAATAGAGGAGTCTGTAGGAAGCTTAACTGTTCATTCTGCAGTGCAAACCCTGCACAAGGCAAGCTATTTAGTACATGCTTAATTAAGGGGCACATACGATGACATGACTAGTATGGTCATTGTAGCTTAGTTTTGTGGGCAAAATTGTTTTTTATTGTAAGTGAACAGAACAACAATAGAAGGATTCTGTAGTATGTAGGCAATAATGAATTTGAGAATGTATTACCACTAGTATAAGACATTTCAAGAAAAAAAATCAATCTTTATGATAGAACAAAAATATTTTAGGTAGAGTTTGTAATTTCAGCTTAAAGATTGTAATAGGGATACATAATATCCCTGTAGATATTGTATTTTTGTGTGTGCACTGCTCATACAGGGTAATGCATAAAATATCTGCTGTCTCCTTGGTATTAGAATTTTCTGTCAGTGGGTTAAACAAAAGATTCTTTCCATGTTTTCGTATAGCAGTGTCAACAGATATACAGTATGCATAATGTTACCATGGAGAAAAAATTTGGTAATAACAACAGTTTAATTAAGAAGCACGTATTGAGAGATTGTGACACATCTGAACAGAGATCAGAATTCTCGGAAGACCTCTGCATAACTCTGAGGCTTATTTGTTCAGACACAACTATCTTCTGGGCTGACGACAGCACTTTCTAAATATTTCACTGCCAATTGCTTTTTACCTGGCTTAGACGTTTTATTTAAGAATAGAGAAATATATTCATGTTTATAGTAAATCGTGTACAGAAGGGAAGTGTCTTTTTATGTTACTTTTTTTGCACACTTTGATGTAACTGGTGTTTTTTGAAAATCACATGCAGGTGTCCTTATTTCAAGGTATTTAAAATTTGTCATTTGGGGTACAGTAACCATTACTGAAATTCTAAAAAACAGTCAATGGGTTAGGAAGGCACTTTTGACACTAAGCAGGTTTGGTTAGAATTCAGCAAACGTACATGTACTTGACCACATCCATCTTTTGATTAATTGTTGTTCAATTTTAAAATTGAGATGTTTGCATTATCATTTTAGTTTGGAGTTTGTACCACACAAGTGTTAATGATACTTGCCATTTAGCTTTGATGAAACCTATAAGAGCTCTCAAAAATAGACATTGTATATGTATATGATTGCTGCTTTTCTGGACCTGAACAATTCGTAATGATTTGTAATTTGTAACGGTTGACCTGTGTTCAGATGTATGTACTGTATACAATCTGGCAATAGATGTAGATATTCCATATTAACATGCTTAGCACTTTACATGAGATTTGTCTATATTTATTTACCAATCTTGTATCCATCTCCAAACAATGATTTTTTTTTATCGTCCCAGTGTGGTCCGTGTATACACCAGCTGTTAGTTTTGTATCATAAAGTTGGTACGAAAGCATAAGTGCATTCCTAGATAAGTTCTGGGACCCTGGCGTTTTTTACTTTCTTCACCAGCATATTAGCAACATTATTTAAGTTACATAGAATTGAAGTAGAGTACCGTCTGTTGAGTCAATAAAAACAAATTCTCTGCCTTTTAAAAAGTTAGAGCAGTTCTTCAATTTTTACTTAAAAAATAATAATGACATTAACAATAAAAGAGTCAAATTTGAAAAGAGTCAAATTTAAGTTAACAGGATTTCCTCTAACTTCACCAGATTCAGTCCCGGTTCTTACCTGAGTCACTCATCTTAAATGGATGCTAACATCCCACCACTGTTAGAACCATTCTGCACATGATCTAATCCTATACTTCCATTTGGGATTAAGGCAACACCACGGACCCAATCAACCAAGGAAAACTTTTGAAGCTCTTAGCACTGCTACGCTCTTCAGTGTGCTACAGCCTGCTGCTGTGCTTGTCCTCCTGAGAACATCTTGCATCTTTGGCTGGTTCCACTCCCACAGCTGTGTCCAATTAATATTCTTTTTTCTCTTGGTACTGCAGGCTTACATGGTAATAAAATACTTTTCTTACCTACGTCACACAAAACGAGGCATACTCTCACACACTACTGGGGAAAAGTTTAGAAATAACTGGTGAGTCATAGAGGGGCTGTGGGAAGGGTAATATTGCCTTCTCTTATTTACCATAATGCTTGACAGGCTTATATATTGGCAGCCCTGAATACACAACTGCCTTTGCTTTGAAAGTACACTAAGACATTGATGAAAATGATGTCTCAAAAAAGGTAACGGTAGCTCCATTCATCCATTTTTTATTAAAAGTGGTAGAGTGGGGAGGATTGATTAAAAAAAAAACAATTATGTGGTTTTGTTGCAAAATGAATACATTAGCTTTTATGAACAGGGAAATGTCATGTCTTTCCAATGATGGAGAGGATTTTAAAGAGGTATCTTTGCCAGAATAAGAACCTCACAGTTTTTAATGCAAACAATGTACACCTTTGCAGTGATGATCATATTCTTCTACTGAACATAAGTGCTAAAACGTGCCAGCACTTTTAGTAATTTCCATGTGTTTCTTTGCAAATAAAAGAAGAAGACCTTCAGAGAGTAATACTCAATAACGCATGTTACGTATAAAGCAGTAATGGAAAATGCATTCTTGATAACTTTTGTTTGCCACATGAAAACCTGTTGCTTTTGAAAAAAACTGTAATTAACACCACCATAGGATAAACCTGATATAAAAGATTGAGACATCTGGGTTTGGCAGCTTGGTAATTGGTGATATGTGTTTTAAGGCTTTTTTTGCATTGTTAATATCAGCAGAAGTTGAAGAATGCTTTTCATTAAATTGAAAAAATTAGTTTGAGAACCACAGCAGGATGGAAGTGGTATATTAAGGAAGTTATGTTTTAAAGTAAATTAAAATAGTCTCCAAAAACTGAAGTCATAAATTGTTCGCTAATTCATAGCTGGTACGCTGTTGTTAAGGTGTTTGACCTGTAATACATCTCAGTCCAGTCCAGTTAGCTGTTCCAGCAGAAGAGCAACTTTTTGTACTTTTTGATTTTACAACTTTGACAGAACTATTGTCCTTTCTAAAACTCCCCAGCAACCGTTCATTTCCAACTTATCTTTTTTTTTGTCTGGAACCTTTAGCAAAACAGTCTAAATAACCATGAAGGAAGTTAAACTCTTGCAGTCCTTAAGGTATGCAGATTATGCATGGGGCACTCAAAGCTTATTTTGCAGTTAATATAGGGACTCCTCTCCACCACCACCTATGTGTAGTATATTGATGCGATCATCACAGCCAAAGTGACGTTTATTACACGTCAGGTATCAGTCGACAGAAGAACAGAGTAATAAAGCCAGTTAGTACATGGGTATTATTAGGAGTCTGTGACTGGTAAAGGCCAAGGGGAGGTTTGGACAGGACACTGGGGATAACACATCTACTGTTTTTAAGAAATAAACTAAGGTTTTTAATGCAAGAGAGAGTCAGGATCACAGTTTTACACCTCACCTGAGGACTGTGCCATTTCTTTTACAATTTAGTGTCCACATCACTATACTGGGGGATTAGGACTCACACAGACCACAGGTTGAACTCCCCCTGCTGCCCCCACTAAAACCTCTTCCAACAGCAGCCTTAGTTTTCCCAGGAGATCTCCCATCCAGGTACTGGGCAGGCTCACACCTGCTGCGCTTCAGTAGGTTACCAGTTGTGATATAGCTGCTGACCTAAGGGTACTGTAAGTGAAAAAAGAAGGAAGAGCTGGGAAGGTCCTGCTGAAATTTGCAAGTTCAGGAAAGAGCCTATGCCAATTAACATATTCGCTAGAATTTGAATCCCTTTGTTTCTCCAGTCTGATCAGGGAAGCCTATAAGGTCTAAAGAAATAAGCCACATTTTGTGAATTTTGTGAATCTTTCTACTAAACACTAAAATTGGAATTAAGTTAATGAGAGGACCAAGACAAAATCTACAGCATCAAATGGGATATCTAGTATAAATTAAATCCTGAAGTGGGAGACATGATTCGACCAAATGGGGAGAATGAGGAAGTGTAGGCAGATTCCTCTGACCCGCCTACCTTTGACAAAGTCAGCTTTTAATGTGTCACAGGCAACACAGCCCCATAGTGGAGGCTCAGCACTGTCTGGACGAGAGCCATGACCCTGGCAACATCAGGAGGTTACTGGATGACATTTGGCTAGTGACATGACCCAGGCTCAGTCCTGTGATTATAGTGCCTAGCTTGCTTTTGGGCAAGCTCCTTTACCAGTGTTGTTTTTTCCTGCAGTTCATGCTCAATTCCAGTTGTTTGGGTCAGTGCTAGCAGTGGGGTAGATTACTGAACACCGCTCCCTGTTTGTCACAGATCTTACCAGGAAAGGAAGAGTGAACTTCTTGTTGAGAGATGAAGACATCATAGACGAGACATAAAATTACAGAATTGCAATGTGTATATTGTCACTTGTTACATATATAAAGTTTTACGTTTGTGTCTTTAAAAGGAACACATGGCCCTTACTGGGAAAAAAAAAAGAGTTTAAATAATGTGAGATTGACCTGTCTCTCTTGTGTGCTCATGTGCAGGTCCAGACTGTGCAGACCTCCACTCCAGACTCCTCAGTGATGAGCAGCTCCCCTCAGAGAATTCAGATCATTTCAGCTGACTCTGCAGTCACCTCTCCACAGCGGATACAGGTGTGACAGGGCTACTGGCCGAAGACCCATTAATCAATTTTTGGACAACATGTATAAAATGTATAATATATGTTCTAAATGAACAAAAATCAGTTTTTTTCTTTGCTTATTGGTATTATTTACATTCACTGTTCCATCTTATTTTTTTTAAAAGCCTATTAAGATTAATTTGATTGATGTTTTTATTCACAGAGACCTACATTTCTACCTATGTATATGAAATCCTATGCATTTTACTGAAGCAATGTGAGTAATGTATATTGCTCAAAGTTACAACAGTGGTACAGTACTCTGTCTAGTATTTGAACCTGCCTGCAACATTCCAGTTGAGAGTCCTAACCACTACTCCACACTGTCTTATGAGTGACAAATAGTTTAATTGTTTTGCCTTCCAGATTGTAACTGACCAGCAAACAGGCCAGAAGATACAGATCGTCACAGCAGTGGATCCGTCAAGCACTTCCAAACAGCAGTTTATATTGGCCACTCCAGATGGAGCTGGTGCGGGAAAGGTGATCCTGGCCTCCCCAGAGACCTCAAACACAAAACAGCTCATTTTCACTACCACCGATAACATTGTGCCAGGTAGAATACAGGTAAGTCAAACTCCAGCTTCATTTAAAAAACAACATGAAGGATTTGACTGCCACGCTAATCAAAACAACTAAAGAAAAGCACTTGTCTTAAGGGGAACTGCAGTCCCAATTTCTCAGACCAGTTATCGAATCTCGGTTACAAAAGTTCATTGATGGTATAGGAAAAAAAATCAATTTTTGAATTAAGCACAATATTGTGAGCTTTGTGAAAGGACTGTAAGTCGCCATGTTGTCTCAAACCCCTGGTCTTGCCGTGGGCGAGAGCATGAGTTCCCATTTAGTGGGACATTATGTAGCCCTTCCTGCTCGCTAGTCACTGTAATAATGTAACGTGATATACGAGCAAATTAAGTACAGGTTGTGCAGCAGATATTTCATTGCAGAAAGTTTCCAAAGTAGTCTGCATGTAGAGTTAACAAGGAAGTTCCATTTATCGGGAAAACCGTCTTGAAGTCAACAGCAATATTTCTGTTGGATTAAAAGGGCATTATTCACAAGACTGCTTCTTTACAAAGTAATAGGGCTGCTTCACCTCACCATGCATAAGATTGGTTGCCTCATTCTGAACCACAGAATATGGTGCTGTGCTTATACATTTTACTTTTATTGTGGTTTGAAATACACTCAATCAATGTTAATTCTTTCTAATCCCGAAATATAAAAATAGTTGAAGTTCATCTTGTAAGTGTCAGCCGCCAGTTATTGTCGTGAAAAAAAACCTGACAAGTTCTCTTTTGATTTTGGTTGAAAGTCCATAAATTGTATTTTTGACACTATTTAAGATGCAAAATAAGCTTCAAGGATAACAGCTTTCACAGAATTCCCTGCTTTACAAGAATAATATTTAACAGTGTATATGAATGTGTGTATCACTTACAAACAGATTAATAGATACTGTAGCAGGATGTTTGTATTTTAGAGGTGCTAGATTAGCGTTTTTCTCCCAGTTGATAGGAAGTTGTGTTGTTTCAGATTGTGACCGATGCGGCTTCAGTGGAGCGTTTGCTGGGGAAAGCAGATGTGGGCCGGTCACAGCCTGTGGAGTACTGCGTCGTCTGTGGAGACAAGGCGTCAGGTAAGAAGGCAGCCCTGTCCACGCCAGGATGGGCACGACAGAAGCACCTTGCTTACCGCAGTTTAATTCACAGTCAGTTAAGGGCAGTGACAGGTAAGCAGGATGGATGGCATTTTGTTTTGTGGAGGAGCTTGCTTTCCAGAAACGCAGTGCAAGAATCCTGGTTCCCTTGGGGCGTTGTAAAATCTGTATGGCGGTGTCATCTTGTAGTGAAGAGGCATACAGCTGATTTTTTTTTTGTTGTTGTCTCTTTTGTTGATAGGTCGCCATTACGGTGCAGTGAGCTGTGAGGGGTGCAAGGGCTTCTTTAAGAGAAGCGTGAGGAAGAACCTAACCTACAGTTGCCGTAGCAACCAAGACTGCATTGTCAATAAGCACCACCGCAACCGCTGCCAGTTCTGTAGGCTGAAAAAGTGCTTAGAAATGGGCATGAAAATGGAATGTGAGTTCTGTCGCGGCACTACAAGCTGGCATCTAATAACAAACAGTGTTCATGAAGTTTCATGTAGACACCAAGCAGACTAATCAGACCCGTGGCTCATTTCTATTTGATCATTGTTTAAGAAGGACATTTGAATATATATATATCAAAGTGTTATTTTTATTTTGTCAATCCATTTAATTATATCATCTTGAGAGCTATGAAGACTGACATCCACCAGCTGTTCCCTTCTGAAAGTTGGCTTAACTTCTTTTTGTAATAAATTCATTTTTTTCCATTAAACAGAGGCAGTTATGGGATTATGAAGGTTATTGATGTATAATTATATAATGGTGTTATATAGATGAACTTAGGTCATAACAATACTATCTGTTACTATTTGTATTAGTATTTCTGATGCTTAAGTTTGGTATTTTTGATGTTTAGTTTGCAGTATAGTTACAGCTTCCTTCTTTAACTTAATGTTTTACTTGACACTCACTGTCACCCTGTTAATGTTTTAGCACTAATGTCAGTGTTAAATAGTTTAAATAATTATGGCTTTATTGTGAGTGTACATTAACGTAATGTAAAATAGTTTCAAATTAACAATTGCACAATAATTTAGTAGACAATGATAGAACTGTATTATGAAGCACTGTACGGGACTTTGTAGGCACGTCCTGGTGAGTGGCCATCAGGAAATTGCACATCTTCACAAATAATTAAAAGAATCTTCTCAAAATTATAAAAAGGATAAAAGTCATATTAACTGAATATATGAATGTAAGATTTCTTTAGGTTCTGCAGTTATTTTTCAAAAATTCATGAGCAAGTGTTGTACTGCGCTTATATGTGCATTTTTACCTGACTTATGTACAACATACTTGCAAGTACTAATTCTCATTGACTACTTAAAACCAGTCAGAGTCATAGGGATCTTATTAGCCTACGTGTAACATGAGCTTTGCAGTGGTAAATACTAATTACTGTTTAAAAAAAGTGCTCAGATGCACTCACAAGCATGCCATCCTACTCCTCTAAACTATCTGAAATTGCTTAGGTTTTAGCAGCAAAATATGATGCTCAGATCACGTTATAAAAGGTGCAGAGAGGCATATACCCAATTAGATTATGTAGAAATCATTTGATACGTTTTCATACCACTGATTTTTGTAGTTCAGGGCGGAATCACATTGGTGTTCAAAGGCTGTTGTGGTGACCCACTGGAACCCCACTGAAACAATGAAGAGTTAAGGTGAATTTTAGGGATTTGCATAGGACACCACACAGATTATTATAAGGAGAAAGGAGAATGAAGTCATATAAGAAATTATGTGGATTTAGGCACAGGGAGAGAATGACAACCAGAAGGGTGGAATTGGAGCTGCTGAAACAAATCTGAGTGGAGTTTGTGTTTTAGTATCAGTGTTTTTATTAGAACAATTTATTTTCTTATGCTGTCAGGTGGCATGCCTAGAGCCATATACAAAAGTGTACAAATATGCTTCTTTTCCATGGATATGCTGTAAAGTTGGGTGAAGCTGGTGGTGAGCTTGTCATTATGAACCTCTATTCTGACTGCCCTTGTTGCTGGATTTGAAAGATTTCACGTGAAAGGCAATTAGCAGATTAATCTTTTATCTGTTAATTCCTATAAAAAATTAAGCCATGCTCCTTGCTACATATAGTATTTAGTAGACTATTTGTAAATTGTGTTCAGCATTTCTCTGTATAACAACACAACTGAATGCAAACATATTTGCCTTAACCTTTTTAAATGTAATCCCTAAAATTAGGTAACAGAAAATAAGAACCTTTTTATGAGCACCAAATTAAAAACTGCTGGTGGTGTTGAATTTATGTTCCTTGCAGGTTTTTAAAGTATGATACTGTTACCTGACCCATGCTCAACCAGGTAAAAATGCAGACAATGCATCCCCTTGCAGAAACACATAGCTAATGGGAGAAATAATTATTGAGTCATCAAGTGTAAAGTTGAACTTATTTATTTGACTAGCTATTTAGGAAAAAATCATAAACACCAATGCAACCAAACCAGGACAGAAGATTTGAATATTACAGTACAGTATATAACATCTACAGTAGCATATAGTTTTCACATTCCTTTTTTTCTGAAGCATTACGTAGAAAATTAACATTAGTCTAATCAGATTATGTGATGAATGAAAAGAAGTAACTGGATCAATGTTCAGTTATTCCTTTATCATACGTCTACATGTTAACATACATGTTAGTGTTTGATAAGGTCCCATTGACAGTATTTTTTTTCTCCTTTTTTGTAGCTGTGCAAAGTGAGAGAAAGCCAATAGACTTGCCAAGAGAAAAGCCAGCTAACTGTGCAGCCTCAACGGAGAAAATCTACATAAGGAAGGACCTGCGGAGTCCCCTCATTGCAACCCCTACATTCATCACGGAGAAAGATGGTTCAAGGTAATAAAGTCCTGGTGTATTGTTTCACATATATTTGTTTTAATATGAAAGCTTTGTGGGTGTTCCTGTCAAAGCAGTTCAAACTTACCTTTTCAGCCCTTGTACAGGACTGTCGGCACTGTCCCAGAGCCACTTACAGCTATGCCTTCAGGAAATAAGAGTTTGAATTTCAGATGTTATTTGCATTGATGCCAATATACTGTAGATGTATATTGCAGTGTCAATTTAAATGTTATAACAAGGCATATTGTTTTTGCTGGTAATTCAGTATTTGTGATCTTAAACTTGCAAAAGCGATCCTTAAGGAGATTCTCATTGTTGTATTGTTGACTGAAAGGAATCTTGTTTTAATTCATTTTAGGTCCAGCCTCTTGGATCCTGGTATGTTGGTGAACATTCAACAGCCATTAATACAAGCAGATGGAACATTGCTTTTAGCTACAGACTCAAAGGTAAGCAAAATATCTTAAGCCACTCTTGTTTAATTTATTCCGGATCCCTCTTTTGAACACGGCTAACAACCCTGTCCCGTAAAAAATTAATGTTGCAGAAATAGCAACCGGATGTTGCTGTCCCTACATGCCGGAAGGCATAATGGGCAAACATCCATACTCTTTTGTAATCTTGCATTTTTAAAGTGCATGTTTTCTAGTAACTTTTTTATCATAATTTATATGTAATTTAATTTCTATAGTATAATTTCCATTATAATGTTGTTACAGTTGTATTGTACATGGAAATCTAAATAATTTGTTTTTGTCTAAGGCTGAATCGAGTCAAGGGGATTTGGGTACTTTAGCAAATGTGGTCACTTCACTTGCCAACCTTAACGAATCGCTTAACAATGGAGATGCCTCAGAAATGCAGCAGGAGGACCAATCTGCCAGTGAGATAACACGGTATTTACTATCCTAAATATGTTTGACATTTTCCATGGGGTTCACATTCTGGGTGGGACACTGCTGTTATGCCCTAACGCAGGGTACTGCATCAAGATTACCCTTGTAAAGTGCCCAGCTGTATGAATGAGTGAAAATATAAGTTGCTTAAACAAAGTAAGATAATATACCAATGTTTGTAGATACTTAGAAGGCTCTGCAAAATTTTGTGAAAATTCAAACTCATAGATGTGCTTGTGCTGAGTGTGGCTCTCCCTTCTCCTGCGTGGATAGAATCCCAGTCAGTCATGGGGCTCCAAGCATGCACAGCTCTGCTTCCCAGACAGTGAACATCTCCACCATGCCAAAAGTCTCTGCCCGGACAGAGAGGGGTAATGTCACCCATTGTATGGAACCCTGCACTCTGCCCTGAGTTGGACTCTTCCCATCAAAATGTCCTTCTCCTCATAGACTGATAGACAACCTGAGTCATGGTCCCAGTATGACAAATGTAGCTCTGCCTGTGCTTGCCAGAATTCTATCCCAGTTACTTGCGAGCTCTGAGCACACACAATAGGCAGCAGATAACTGCACTACACCAAAAGACCAGTCCCCTGCTGCCACAGAATTCTGCAGGGTCTAGATTTCTGATTGGGGGGTAACATTGGGTCTGTAAACTTGGGGAGCTATATGCGTGGAGTTTGTACGTTCTCTCCATGTTCATATGTGTTTACTCCAGGTGCTCCAGTTTCCACCCTCAGTGGTAGGTTAACTGGCTTGTGTAAAACCGGACCTGGTGTGAGTATTTGTGTGTGTTTGTGTCTATGTAGTAAATTGATTGTCACTAACTTTGCACCACCTGGGCTTCAGCTGTGGAAATGAAGAGGAAGAGGCCCGTTTCTCGTTTATGTTGTGATTTTTTTTTCTCCCTATTTGCAGTGCCTTTGACACTTTGGCAAAAGCACTGAATCCCACAGACACCACTGCGGTGCAGAACCTCACAGAGGGGACTGACACAGGAGGGGGCGCCAGCATCCAGGTGATCAGCAGAGACCAGTCCACTCCCATCATTGAAGTGGAAGGACCTCTCCTCACTGACACTCATGTTAGTTTTAAGGTTTGTATTCCTATGATGAGAGCATTGTGCTGTGTTTTGTAACTGTGTGCAACAACAGGAAATAGATCGTTAAACTGCTTGAATTGGACACCTTTTTAATACTGTCTTCAAACACATTAAGGTGTCAGATTTCTAGTTAAAGCAGTTATTTCACTTTTTCAAAATTATGGTTATATTTCAGATTTTTGTGAAGTCTTCTTCTGGTGAAGTTACACTGACAAAAGACCATTGAGTTTAACTATCTTGTTTAAAGGGGAAGTTTGGTTCAAAGGGGAATGGTTCAAATCACTAGAAATCCCCTGTCACATTAACCTCAAAGGAAGAAATGAGTGAATATTGTTCTTTGTGAAATGTCTGAATTTTACATTTTTTAACATTTAAATCTTTAATTTCAAAGTGTTGTAATGAAACACATATATTCTTCTGTGTAGTCCAATGCAGTTATTGATATATCTTTTTCTTTTGGATCCACACTTTTAAATCAGTTTCGCTCACTCTCACACTGGTTCAGATCCCCACACGTTATTGGAAGAAACACACCACAATATGCCAGTATTTACCAATTACTGAGTAGAGGTTTGTGTGGGGATTCATTGTAGTCAAGTGGTAAAAGACCCTTTAGCAATGTTCACAATAAGCATTTTTCAATTCAAATGGATTTCTGCATTAAAACATAAAGCCTTGCCTTCAACAAACAAGTTATTTCACCGGATGTCAGTGTTGTAAACAGTAGAGAACAGATTCCACCGTGGAGACGAGATTTCACGGCAAATGCCACATTTTACACAGCTGCAAAATTGATAGGGTTTTAATTGTAGCTCTAATAGCGTCTTATGATTATCTATAATTATGTATAATAATTTAATGACTTGTCAGACTAACGTAAGTTTTTTTTTTCTGTTGTAGCTGACAATGCCAAGTCCCATGCCAGAATATCTGAATGTACATTATATCTGTGAATCTGCCTCGCGATTGCTGTTTCTTTCCATGCACTGGGCCAGGTCCATTCCTGCATTCCAAGCCCTGGGGTAGGAATTGTATGGTTACAATAGTAAATGAAGCAAAGTAGTACTAAATAGTTCCTGTTTGTTCTAATGGAGTTATTTTAACTGCACTCTGCACTTTGGTTTTTGGAGTACTTTTGATGTAGTTGTGACATTATACATTATGAATCTGCAGAAATTGAGAGATGTGACTCTCCAAATGTTTTCTCAACAGCCAGGATTGCAATACCAGTCTTGTCCGTGCCTGCTGGAATGAACTGTTTACACTAGGCTTGGCACAGTGTGCACAGGTTATGAGTCTTTCTACAATCCTTGCAGCTATTGTCAACCACCTACAAAATAGCATTCAAGATGGTATGTTGCAGTTTTTACTTCGTAAGCACAGAGCTGAAAATTGTTTTACCCTTTATAACAGTTGTAAACCTGTTTTCATTACAATTTAACACAATGTTGTATGTAGTAGCTCTGAAATCTGTTTAAGAATGATTTTGTGGATGCTTGGGCAAATGAGCTACTACACATAGCATTATAGCGAGACATTGCATTAGAATATTGGAAAAGACTAAAGATTTTGTGTAAATATGTACACATACTCTCTTGTTCATGCACAGCTTCTTTTAAATGTACATTTTTCCACACTTCACTGTACACCCTGGGGTGCTTACTCAATAGCTTAAACCTTTTGACCTGGGTATGTTTATGTGCTTTATTTTGTTTTATTCTAGATAAGTTGTCAGGGGATAGGATAAAACTGGTGATGGAGCATATCTGGAAGCTACAAGAGTTTTGTAACAGCATGGCTAAATTGGAAATAGATGGATATGAGTATGCATATCTTAAGGCTATTGTATTGTTCAGTCCTGGTAAGTAATTCACTTCCAAATATGAACCTAGATAAATATTTCTAATTTTGTTTAAATGTTTTAATCTTATTTCCAACTATTTGTTTCTATCTTATGTCTTATAATAAAACATATAATTATAATAATAATTGCTTACACTTGTATAGCGCTTTTCTGGACACTCCACTCAAAGCGCTTTACAGGTAATGGGGACTAGCCTCCACCACCACCAATGTGCAGCATCCAACTGGATGATGTGACGGCAGCCGTAGTGTGCCAGAACGCTCACTGCACATCAGCTATCAATGGGGAGGAGAGAAGAGCAATGAATTCAATTCCTAGATGGGGATTATTAGGAGGCCATGATTGGTAAGGGCCAATGGGAAATTTGGCCAGGACGCCAGGGTTACACCCCTGCTCTTTTATAAATCACTTATATTGTGTACAAAATTAAATAGTAAAGGTTAATAATGTCATTCTGAACATGTTTTTGAATACAAAAAGTAAACTGTAATTCAGTTTCAAAGTTTTCTCTTGAGTACATCCATGGGCAAAATTGATAATTTGTTCTTGTTTTGCGCTTGCCTTGTTTTGACCCTGTTGTGGTGTCCTCTTAGATGTGGTACAGTGTCTATAGTCTTTTTTATAATCAACTGTATAAAATACTTTTTTTTCCCTGAAGGAAATCTGAGTATCATTGCTTCACTTCTCTATTACCTTCCAAATCATCTTTCTACTTGTATTCTCTCTATGAAAATCATTTTAGATTTTCAACTTCACGTGAGCAACATTTTGAGAAAATCAGTGAGAATTAAACTGAATTGTTTCCATCTGCTTCTAAAAATAACAGCAAAAATACAAATCTTAAAGACTGTGGAATGGTTCTTTAATCATGGTAAATAATTGCATTTCTTCAGATCACCCAGGTCTAAGCAGTACAAGCCAGATTGAAAAATTTCAAGAAAAGGCACAGATGGAGTTACAGGATTATGTGCAGAAGACATATCCAGATGACACATACAGGTATGGCCATATGCAATATTTTAAAGTACTGTGAGGATCATACACTTTTCCCAAGATATACAGTATATGAGTATAATCAAGGCTCTAGTTCTTCTAGGGTAGTTGGCAGAATATAGTGGGTTTACCATAAATTTACAAGTAAAATTAGAAAAATGTAGAAAAACTACAACCTGGATTTTTGATCGTTCTAATTCTTATTTCTTCATTTCTAGATTAGCACGTATACTGATGCGCCTCCCAGCACTTCGGCTCATGAGCTCTGGCATAACAGAAGAGTTGTTCTTCACCGGTCTCATAGGAAATGTTCCTATTGACAGTATAATCCCCTACATTCTGAAAATGGAAACTGCAGAATACAACAGCCAGATCACAGGGACATCTGCATAATCTGTAACTTTTAACAATTAGCCACTGTTTAAAGATGGCATTTCTATTTATTTTTTAAAATGTCTTCGGTTCTTTTTGCTTGAGGCAAAGGAGAAAAATATGTATCAGGGCTAGAATCAACAAGTCATTTTTTCGACATGTACACTCTTACAGTGTCCAAACTATTGTAAAGTGGAAACATGTTTTCCTGTTGTGAATACTATGTTATAAAGTATGTTATAAAATAAGATAAAATAATGGAGATAGAAGATTCTTTCTGCACCTTTACTTAAAATTCCATGGATGGACCAGATTTTGAGTTTATACTTTGTATCAAAAAAGGAATTAATCTCATCAAGTGATGCTATTGCCTTTTTGTTCATTTTTTATTAATTCTATAGCGACTATTGGCAGCAACAAAATTAATAATGAAACTTCAGTTTGTTAAGCCTTTTTAAAAGTTTTTCTTAACTTTTTTTATAAATAATACTAACAGTCCACATTTTAATTCTGCTAACAATAGCAACAAAATGCAAACACATATAGCAGCCATAGAGTAGATAAACATTTCAATGCCATTTACCAAACTCAATGAAAAGTGACAAAATGACAAGATGTAAATGTTTTAGTATTGAACTTTGTAAACAGAGATCCAAATAAGGATTGTTTACTCTAAAATAAGGATTGTTTACTCTAAAATAATAAAAAAAGGAATATTGAACTATATTCAATATACTGTATAGGAATATTCTAATCATTTAAGCCCTTTTGTGTGATTTTATTGCTGTTTTCCGTTAGGTTAATCATATGCAGCAACTAGCAGCAACGGCCTATGCAGCAACTAGCAGGCTGACTAGTGTTGGAAATTATGTGTGGAGTAGATTTGTGTTGAAATTCACCTCAGCCTTGGTATACAATAGAGTGAGTTCTTGTTTAAAGTAAGAATGTTAAAATTGACAACAGCCTTGAAATGAATCTGTTCTTGTTCATTATGAGATTGTCTAGTGATCTTTGTAATTTTACTAACAGCCATTCATTTTCTAACTGTTTTGTCCAATACAGGGTCATTTATTTCATGTTTTTAACAGATAACATCAACAGCTTTCTCTGGAAGTAACCACAGAAATATACGTGGAGTTCCATTTAAATACTGAAAAAAAACATTGCATTTCTATAGGTAATTATCAAAAAAGGTGAATAACTTAGTTGATGTATACTTCATTATAAGGCTCAACAAAGACACATAAGTAGTGTGTTTCTATGAATATATTCACCTATAAGTACACATTTAAGAATAAATGTAGACAATTACATAATTGGATGTGGAATTTTTAATTGCCAACTGTACGTTTGTTCCATATACGTTTTGATTCACATGTCCATCAAATGATCACCTTATTTCCCAGATGGGAAATGTAAGTATCCTAATTTTATACAATGGCCTTTTTGTTTGCATGACATGTTCACAGCTAACTTTTCATTTGCTGCCATGACAATCAAATGCTGTATGAGATGCTCGCTATTTTGTGAAAGATTTGCAGTTTCTCGTTTGTTATTTTTGTTTCATTTTTAGACAGTTAAAGGCTAGTTTCTTCACAGAAGAAACAATATAAAAGTAAAGGATTTGCACACTAGTAAGCCTTTCTACAACAGCTAGGTGCAGTGTTTCAAGGCTCTATAAGAGTGACAAACACTGTGGGTCTTATGTGAAGACATGCTTTTTTTTATAATCCTATATTCCTATATATTGCAAACAAGATCTCAAAGATAGTCTCTAAATTATAGTGTTGTATGTTGGTATTTGTCAGCTTTCTGATGTTTTTTTTTGCATAGCAAATGATTTCATATTAACAATTAGTAGCTGTTATCTTCAAAATTGTTATTGGTTGCAAATCTGATGTTAAAGATGCACGCTGTATATGAGGAAATGGTAACATTATATTTATAGATTTAAAATGGTAACTTGTTTTGCCTTTCCAAAGTAAATCTGTGCATAGAAATGTGTAACTGCAAATCAACATGTAATGATGCCCATAAAGCCATGTCCATCCATAAAATCCACAGTATTTGGTACAGCAGAATTGATGTATAACTGAATTTAACCTGAAGTGTATGTATGTTAATAATCTGATCTTTAGGTTTTTAAAACCTGCCAAGACTGTTGTTTATCTCTTTTCTTTTATGTGAATTTGGCTTTGTACTGTACATGTAATTTCATTGAAAATGAGTGCATGTTCTTTTTTAATCAGAATCTTTTATAATCTGATCTGTGTCTTCAATCCTGAAGAAAAGTTGCATTGTTGTTTTTGTATATAGAGCATTGCAGTGCATGGATTAGCTTATGCATTTTATTAAATGCTGTAAAAATGTGGAGTTACAACATTGTGGCTAAAAAGATACTACTATCTGAAAGAGCAGTTTATACAATTAAAAGTACTTAATGCAGTTTTGTGATGCCTTGTTTCCTGTGTGGTTTTAATTGGTTTTGTATGACTTGGATACATAATTGTGTTCTTCAATCTACATTGCCCTAAGTGTGTGGTTTAATTTATATGCAAAGGTAGTTGCAAGAATCTTAAAAACATGATCTATGTATCATATATCTAACATATGGTATGCTAATGTTACCCACATGATCTGTTGTTAACTATGGCCCCCTGCTGTGTGTCCAAGGCTAATGCATGCACAACATAGAAGTCACACTCGTCTCACCTTTTGTGCACAACACCTGGATATTCAGTCTACAGAGCAAGAGTAGGCAATTCCAGTTCTCAAGGGCTGTACGGTCCATTGTTTTTCATTTAACTTTAGGTACTAATTACTGAATTGAAAAAGCTGTTTGCTTAGAAGTCAGGTAACCTGTTGTTTTTTAGATCTTAATCACCTGCTGTTTGAAAAAGTATAATAGACAAGGCTAGCCAACTGTGGTCCATGCAGTTCAGTACTGTATGTCTTATGAGTCACTGTCAAAACAATTTCTAAAGGCATCTGTCTGTTGTGATATTTTTTGAAAGTTATTTTGTTTACTGAGAAAATTGGGAATGACCAATTATAGCCCGTGAGTGCTACTTGGTGTTGGTATACTAATTTCAAGTCTCAGCTACTTAAAGCATTATTCAGCCACTTCAGAGGTCAAAAATGAAATCGTTCCAAGTGTACAGATACTAGTGATATAAAGGTGACCAATAAAAGCATCTGGATTTTGGTTTTCCAGGACCATGTCCTAGACAAGGAGATCTCTGTCCTGCTCAAGGAGGCCAGCCTTTGCTTGAAATTTTCATTTCATTTAGCTTAAAATGCTTTCGCTTTTAAGATACTTTTGGGAATACCAGTATTCACAATATTACACACCAATATTATAACAATATATTTTTTATTGTGCAGATCTAACCAAATATGGAATGCAAATCTGACAAGTAAGTGCGTGATTCTGTCTTGATCTTTGAAGTTTGAGATAATATTAAATAATATGTTGTAATTATGCCAAGTTTTGTTTTTACAATGTATTTTTTATATAAAAAACTACTATACTAATGTAGAATAGGTCGAGGTGTAGAATGTGTTTAGATTTAATTTTGAAGATTTGTATGTTCTTATGTAGGTAGTTAATAAAACGCCACAAACAGTAAAACTATGCATTCTGGCCTGTTAAGAGGAAGGCAGAGTCAATCTTGGGCAGGGAGACTCGTTTGGGTCAGATCTAGAGCAATTGAAGTTTGGCCCTGACCAATAACACACCAACATCTGAAACTCATCTCTATTGTAGGCAGAGATGATGGTTAACATGGAAACCTTCTTAATAGCCAACACCAACAGGAGTACGGAGCCCGGGAGTTCCCAGAAAACCTCAGTCAAGGCTTTCAGGACTAAAAAAATGTTTGAAGAGTTAACTGGTGTCAGGCAGGCCTGGCTAATAAAAGTTTTTCTTCATTGCTATTGAGTCTTTAGTTTTAAATAACTAAATCTTGATCAAATACATTCTGCAGTAAACCCACTGAATTACAAAACCTGTCTGGCTTTCAAATTTATGTATGCAGGTATATATATATACTGAGACATTTAAAATGCAACAAATGATATTGGTTCCATTCATTGTGTTTTAAATGCCTCTTAGTAAATTCCTGGTTCTGAGTTACTGGGTTACCATACGAGAGAATATCTACATCTTTCTTGAAATTTGATATTAATTGAATATGTAATTTAAAAGAACGAAGAATAGAACCACCGTCAGGCACACCTTCTTATCCAGCCTTTTGCCAAAGAAAATACACGCAACATTATTTTAATGCACACATTCGGAAACCGGAAACTGGTGAAATTCAGGCATTGTGGTTAATGTAGTTCAGTGAAAGCATAATGATTCGTGAAATGAAAATATAATGCTGCTTGTTTACGATCTATTTTAATTTTTATAACATAAGATGGAAAAAACGTTTAAGCGAAAAAGGATTTTCATCAAGATACAAATTTGTGATATCCCGAAAGATGTCCCGAAAGCCATTGAACTACAATGACAATAATGCAGTTTGATTGATTTTTTACCCGCAGGGTCAAAGGTAGTGAGACATGTATTGTAAGTAGGGAGTGTGTTTTTTTGTTTTGTGTTTCTGCATGTAAAATTAGCTATTAACAATGCCTATGAAAGGAAGGTTTCCCATTAGGAGAACACTGGAATATCTTCAGAAAGGAGATGTAGTATTTAAAAACTCTGTGAAAATAATGACTGTGAATTACAACACGCATGGAGAGCTGAGCGATGGCGCAAGGTCAGTGCGGAGAAGACTGTATCTATAATGAGATTCTGTACAAAACACAAAAAGTATCTGTACGTTATTAAGGGTGTTTTTCAGTCGGATAAGAATTAATTTAATGTCCATTTATTAATCGTTGTCTTAAAGCTTTTAGAAAGTGTGCCACTATAATGAATTAAAATAAGTTTTGTGTCACTAAACATATTTTATTTCTTCTTCCAGAAAGTTTGTATTTTTTAAAATTCCTCAAATCCAGTATAAAAATCCTTGGGTCCAGATCGTGATGTATAAAAATCTAACTCCGTCCCCATTTGTGAAGTTTTATCTTGGTAAGTATTTTTCTTCAGAATGAAATTAGTCTGGATTCGGCATGGTTTTGAACTGCATAAGCTGCATTTAACTTACTATTCTGTTATATAACGGGCGTTTTTTTGTAAGCACTAGCTGCTGAAAATCATTACATTTATCCAAAGTGGTCACAGCAATAAATATACAATAAAAACGATGTTGTATATAGGACATATATAATATTAAAAAACGGCAAAAGCACTCTCAAAGGTGTTGAGGTGCTGTTCAATGAGAATCTTATCGACAAAAGTCTAGCACATGACTTTGCTTGGTGAGGATGTTTATAGACCATGTTTAACAAAACCTGCCTGTTTCCCTATATGCAACCTATTCTCTCAAGACTTTTTCAAGAGAAATGTATAAGAACCGCTGGCTTATAGTTAAGTTCCCTTGGGCTGGCTTTTTTTGGGTGGTGGTGTAATACAGTAGATTTCTTCTATAGAGAGAAGAACTTCAAAATCTTCAAATTTGACAGATTTTCATATTTTTTCCAGTCTTTTTTAAATGTGTATATTTTATTCTGTTGTAAATTGCTATCGATCCATTTAAAAGCCCTTGGACCTGCTGTCTTTCTTAAGTTAGTCCTCCTAAAATGCTGATGCAGTTCTGCTGTGTCAATCTCAATAAAGTCATGTGAAGGGAAGACAGCACTGTAATTCGTGTTTATTTCTAGCTTTTAATTAAACGGGATTTAAAATGCATTTAGGTCCACATCTGGATACAAAGCTTAACAGTTATGAATGGTAAATAAATATAGAATACACAATATGGAAAATAACCATACAGGATTAGTTAAAACATTGTAATAAAGAGAAAAAATCAATACAATTGTAAGACGCAACGGAATGTGTTTAGACATGGTGCTCTCTGCTTTCCTCACTGTTTTTCCTGCCTGTGCAGATGACGGCGAACAGGTTTTGGTGGATGTAGAAGGAAAGGATCACATACAGATAACACATCATGTCAAGAAGATTATGGGCAAATCTCAGTGAGTAACGGCAAACTTGAAGAGTTTCTCAAACAAGGTTTATGCCAGTGAAGTCTACACTTTGTCAAGAAATAAGTTTATCCCTCACAAATGTTTAAAAATATAAGAAAGGTTGCAGGTGAGAGGAGGCTATTTGACCCATTTTACTTTTTGATAGTTACGTAGCCAAGTGAATCTAAAATTTCATTTAGATGTTTGTTAATAATAAGTCAGATACTGGGACTCAACCTCCCGATAGTGAAACCTATTTTAGACAACACCAAGATTTCTTTTAAAGAAGTGTTTCCTGTTCTCCCAGATGAATTCCCTTTTGGTTTATACACCTGGCCCCTGAGATCTGTAATCATTGTTGGTACTTGTTGGAAATTCCTGATTTTACTCTTAAGGCTGTCATCTTTTTGTGGTCAGGTGACCAAAACTGAACTCAAAAATTCTAAGTGGGGTCTTGCTAGTGCATTGTAAAGCTTAAGTATAACTTGCCACAACTTAAATTCACACATTTATCAATATCCTCAAGCATTTTTTTTTACTTTTTTTATTCCTACCACCATGAATAATAAATGCCAGCATCCCTTAGTGAGTTTGAGAGAGTGGCTTTGTGAGCCATCTGTTAATTGGAAAAACCTGTATAATGAGGCATACCTGGTCCAATTGACCAACTAGCATTCAGGAGGAGTGAAATTCCTCACGAGGGAGAGAGAGGTGTCAGGATAGGCTCATTGTGGAATTAGCCACTCCTCTGGGTTAAAGAAGAGTCTTTATAAGAACAGCCAGGAGGGAAAATGTTTCATTTCGTACCTAAGCTCTGGTGTGGAATGATAGAGAGTGAGAGCCCCAAAGGGGGAAAGTCCTCATTAGTAATGAGTTGAGTTGAGTTGGCTTACAGGCATGAGGGACTCAATGAGTTAGAGGTGCTTGAGGGAAATACAGTTGTGAGACAGGCAGACTCCATAGTTGTCTGCCAGATTCAATGGGGCTGAAGCAAGAGAGGGAAAATGATCAAACTAGCTCCTGCTGTGTCAGGGAAGCAAGCATTGTTACAAAAAGCTTCACTGGACGAACAGGATCAGCTGGGATAGTTAATGAGAAGAAAAGTTAGTGCTAATTAGTGAAGACCTGATCTTTGCTAAAGAACAAGAGCAAAGAGTTGAGTTTGTTATTGAATGTAGATTCAGACTGGGTGGAAGAGATTGAGTCTAAATAAATGCTTTAATAGATTTAAGGTGGTGTGAGTGCTAGTTTTGTGAGTCACATCCTTTTATGGTTTTGTGAAGTTCAGTCACATTTGCACTTGTGCTGTATATGTTCCCAGTTTCTGGCTGGATTGAGTTGGACTCACAAGTGTTAAACTTCATTTGTCTAGTGTCTGTCCAATCTGTGATTTTGTTTTAAGTCTTAGCAGCAAAGAAATTACAATGTTTCAGAAACCAATCCCCCTGTTTTTGCAAATTAGAGAGATCAGGAACAGCAATGTGCCTGAAAAAGATCCCTATTCTACACCACAGCTTACATCTTCCCAATGAGAAGTTTTGCTGCTAAAATTCACACCTTCTTCAATTGCTGTACATAAAAGAAAAACAACTGCATTTGCTTGTTTACTAAGCAACTACAGTGTCAGTAGCTGCATTTTTTTAAAAATATTTAATAGATCTCAGCACTGAATGTTGTACACATTCTGCTTTTTATTTTTTGCCCATTTATATTTATATATTTTAAATCCTAACATTCTTAAACAGTTTGCTGTATGTTTGTTAGTCATGGGAGATATACAAAAACACCCTTGGTACAGCTTAAAATTACTTTTTTAATTTAAAGCTTTATTGACGTTCAAAATTGCATCTATTCTCAGTACCTGCTGCACTGGACAGAAAGGTTTTTTTCTCCTGTTCTTCTCGTCACCTCCTTCTCCCTCTCCTCCCCTCACGCAGGGAGGTTTTGCAGGCTGAGGAAATGGCTCGGATGGTGGCGTCCAACCCTGCCCATTTCGGTCCCAAGAAGTACTGTCTGAAGGAGTGCATGTGTGAGATGGAGGGCCAGGTGCCCTGTCCTGGCCTGGTACCCCTGCCCAAGGAAATGACGGGCAAATATAAGGCACAGATGAAGTCAGCTGAGGACTGATCACAGATGCCTGGGACTCTTGTATATATGTTGTGGCTCTTCAGTTGATGGATATTTATCTGGAATTTTGTGTCTGTTTAAAGGAGATCTGAAACTGCTGATTTTTTTTTCTACAAATAAGTTTAAGCTGCTTTAGTTCATTTACTACCACTGGCAGTGCTGATCCCCGAGTATTTTTTGTACCATCTGACATGTTGAGGGAGCACAAAGCCATCTCCTGAGCCTTTTGGGTCCCTGAAAGAAGTCTTACTGTCACATGGGTTTATCGTGATATGTGATATGTCTAGAAAGCCTTTACATTTCTAGAAAAGGAGAAGATCATATTCGGTAAACATTACAAAAAGCATAACTTAAAAAATCTTTTTGTCAAAAAATAAAAAGCACTGAAAGTTCTAAATTATTTTATTTGTGTACCTTAATAAGATAACAAATTTCATCATTGATCTTTCGATGATCAACCAATTTAATGGCTGTAATGCCAATACTGGTGGTGATAACAGATGATAACATCACTTAAGGAAAAAATAAGTTTTACACTTTCTTGGGCAGAAGCCAGTTTTATTAGTGCAGAATGACATCAACTCCCAATCATGAAAGGAGCACAGGCAATATATTCAAAGCTACATTATTAATCTTCAACATTTAACACAAGCGTTTACAATGTGTACTGTTTATAGTCTATAGCTTTTCTTTAGTGGTAATTGTTGATAGTGTACATACAGTACTGTACTGGATATGATTCATGTCAGCTTGGTTTAAACAAGGTCTCAAAAAGCTAAACTGCATAATAGCGGTCTAAAAACAAAGCCTTATTAACAAATTCTAATGTCTAAAGAATGTTTTCAAGATGTATCACTGATATCCATAATACTTTTTTGGTTAGTGTTACAGTTTTAAAACAAGAAAAAAGTCAGTTTTACTACATATGTTTTAAAAAGTTAGGCTGAAGAGAAAGATCTTATATATATTAAAAAAAATTAACCGTTTACTAGTTCCATAATTCTGCGGCTCCATTTTTCCAACACTTCTTCTATAACACAAACTTGTGCTTCCAGTGGAGGTATTGGGAAATTTTATTACAGAAGGTGAGCTAATCTGATTCCAATACAATGGAAATGACAAAGCAGGTGGCAATATGAAGTCCTGGGAAAAGTACTCCCTTTTTTTAATGGAATTTGTCTCTACAGATTAAGGAATCTACCCATGAATGAGTGAATTCTTTGTAATTAAAAACTAAAGGACAAAGCTAAAGAAGCCAGAGAAATTATGTATTTTTATGGACAAATTACTGATTTATTGAGGTGAATGAAGGGAGCCATACTGGGCCATGTTTGGTTTAAAATGATTTTGACAAAAACTGACAAAACATCACTCAGAGGGCCGTCACACTGCTAGCAGGTAACAGTCAAGGCACCTGATTACAGAGAACCATCTTAATAATTCAGTTTTCACTACATACAGATTGTGGCAGACTGGACAGTTGCCTTCTTGAATTTCATCCATACAGCTAACCTAATGTAGATTAATGAAAAGGGACAAAGCAGAATAGACGGCACTAGAAGAAAATAAATGCTTCGCTAAAGTGAAACAGATTGTTTTAAGATGGAGCTAAACCTATAGGTAGTGAAACCAAAATATTACTGATGGCATCATTGTAAATAAAAGGTAGCTAATACTTCACAGCAATAGAAGCAGTGGTACAGAGTTTTTAATATTTTGCCAATCATCCGGCAACATTTACATCTTTAAATATACAATAGTTTTGGCTAGCTTCTGGCTTGATTTGATTTTTTTAAATGGAGTTTCCAAGTATTCCGCAAGACATTTTCTGTGTATGCTATTAAGACATTCCTAAAATTATAAAACAATCATTCACGTAGTCGTTTTTCAGTTCTGAAATGCGATATTTAGTATAAAACACTCCCCTGCCTAAATGACCATTCTTATGGTGTGTGCCCACTTCTCAAGAATGAAATTTAAGTCACTGAATGTGAAGGAAATCAAAGTATAAAGCCGTAAACAGAATAATAATCAGTGTTCAAATTTAAGTAATTTTACTAATTGAAGAAAGAATTTGGAGTACTTTTTCCAATATTGTGCTTTTTGTGGCAAACGTCAACAGAAAGGTCTGCAGATGATAATACACTCAAGTACATTGGTGTATGAGACAAAAAACAGTATAGGACTGATCCCCCACCCTTCCAGACGTATACACACACAAAACAAATCAGTGCGTTTTTCTTTTCTGCTCTTGCAGAGTGCGCTGTAGTTCTCGTAGGTTCTCCGACAGCAATTCCACTTCGTCGGCCCGGCCACTCTGCTTGGCATCAAAAATGTACGCTCTGATATTATCAATCTGCTGGATCAGCAGCTCTTCCTCAATGACGTTTTCATCAATAGCTTCATCGGTGTCAAAGGGGTTGGTGGATGCGCTCTCGGCGACTGGTGCGGGCGCACTGTTTCTTGCTTCGCTGAAAGGATTGCCGTTGTCCTCCTCGTCGAATGGGTTCAGGTACCCCTTGATCTCACTGTGGCCACTGGGTCCCACCTCCTCCTCCTCGTCTTCAAATGGGTTGTATTCCTTTTCACCGTTCGGAAGCTTCCTTACTGAGGCGGACTGTTCTTTTGAAATTTCTTCGGCGAAAGGGTTCGAGGGGTCATCTTCAATGGGCGTGGAGTCTTCATCTTCGAACGGGTTTAAAGAGGTAGCAGCCTTGTTCTGTTCTGGTTTTGAACGGTATCTCAGTTCATCCTGCTGCGGCAGAGGAGGAGTCTTTTCCCGGCTAGGAAGGTGATGGAAAGCTTTCATGGACTGCGTTTTGGATAAGGGGCTGATCTTTGTCGTGGCGGCACCTAAGCCTTCACTGTCTGTGGCATGTTTCCCAGAATCCTCTCCCTGAAAGGGCGAGGCCTCCCGAAAATCTAAAGAGCGTGTTCGCATGTGTTGCGATGCCTTACAGTGCTCTCGCTCCCATTCCTTCTCTTCCAGGACCTGGAGCTGCTTCTGCTGCAGGGCCTCCTCTTCGGCCATCTGCTTAGACAGCCTGATCGCCAGCATGGTCTGCTGCTGGTCGTACTCGTCCTGCAGCTGACGGAGGTTCTCCTCCAGCATGTTGACTTCGTCTACCTTATTAGCCGCTTTGGCCTGGCGGATGAAGGATTTGATGTTGTCTATTTGCTGGAGGAGAGGATCCTTGATCTCCTGGGTGTGCAGCATGCTGGAGTTGGGCAGCCATCCACTCGCTTTGGTCATGGAGGGCTTGGGCAATGGCGTGGCTTCGCCGTTGGTGCTGGCACCCAGACGGAACTGATCTCGGGGCTTTTCTTCGGCTCTCCTTTTTTGTGTCTCAAGCGCAGCCTAGAACAAAATAAATGTGGTTTTACGTAACTGGATGTGCTATCCTAAATTTCACTCTTAACAACAGAGCCAGTGTACAGTGTCTCATATCTCAGATGACCATCTGTTTCAATATTAAGGAAATGCTTTCAAAGCATGATTTATGCAATTTTTCAATATTTTTCCACTTATAAAAAGATGTAGAAACAGATCTGAAAGGGATAACAGAAATATATGAGTTACAGTTTGGTGAAACCTTCTCACCTGTCTCTCCAGCTGCAACTTCCTCTCCATCTCCAGTTTCCGTTTCTCCTTCAGCTCGTCGTATTTTTCTTTTGTAGGCAGGGACATCAGCCCCAGCAATTTTTCCTAAAAAATACAGCAGCAGTTTTCATAGATGGTATTGAAAGAGGCTTTTTTTTTGGCCCTGCAGATTCAGAAAGAAGAAATCTTAAGAAAACACTTGAAAACAACCAGTACAGAAATTCAAAACAGGGTCTGAAATCCCTTAATTTATACATTTGCATCATCTGGATCTGTGTATTGGGTATTGAGATAAACAATATTTCTGACCCGCCTTTCTCTCATTTTAGTTGTCTTTGCTACTTTTAAAAAGACAAAAAAACAAAGATTTTACATTACAGTTTGCACTCTCCGTGTCAAATGTCCTTCAGATAACAAACAGAAGGTTTTATAAAAAGGGAGTATCTGGAGTAGAGAGTAAAACAATAATTAAAAATGCATACAACCTTCCCTTCTCAACCCCATTCCAGTCCTACCTGTACAAAGAGTGTGGCTGAGTATCTAATCATCCGCTGTAGCTGCTGGGTCTTCGGATGTGGCTTTGGCTCCTCATTCATGCCTAGTGTGAGAATTTTCTTACTGCATTAAGAAAAGTAGTATATCTAAATTACTGACATTATGACAAATTCATACAAGGAAAAAATAATGGTTGTTGCGCTTGCTGTTGCATTTTATAAATGTAGAATCTCCTGACAGTATCAGGGACCAGCAGGCTATAAAGTTGTTATTTTTTAAAACTGCAAAGTATTCAACAGAGAGCACAACTGTATTGATTTTATTAAACAGAAAAAAGTACACAACCATTCTCTTCTTAACAGCTCCCTTCAACAGATTAACAATAACAGGACTATATATTTACAGGTGAAAAAAAACATTGCTACCCGTGTTGCTGCACTTCAATCATAATGCCTGAATAATAAAGTTAGTTAATATCCAGTCATCCGAAAAGTATTTTCTTGAGGGTTATACCTTAGTGCATCTATCAGCTCATAGTACTTCTGGACCTCCAGCCTGAGGCCATTGGCATGCTCTAAATTGTAGGTTGTCTCCCCAGCACTGAAAGTAAATAAAGGGATAAATTGGCAAAAAGAAAAATCATTAGTAAAAATGATTATTGTGGCTTAAGTGCTTGAAAACCAATATTGTTCTTCAAAGCACCGGCTACTATACTTTGGATTGTGTTATAAATCATCCAGATATTACTTACTTTAATGATTCTGCCATTTTTATATACTCAGGAGCCTTCTGATCCACTTTCTCAATGCAAATTCTCAGTTTCTAGAAAAAAGAGGAGGAAAAAATTTAGCAGTAGATAGAAATCATTCTCACGATCGTTCTGAAAATATGCTGTCACTTCTCATTACATTGATTTCAGAAATGCATCTGGCAGTGAATAATGATATGGTTAACAAATAATACCACTCGTAATAACTGGATAAGGAGTGATATTAGCTCAAGCTAAAGTTATTTCAGTCTTCACAGATCTTTCACAGTGACAGGAAATGGAAGCTGGAAGCACAGCACGAGCTAAGTCTTCTGTTTGTTCTGCATTCAAACCTTGGAAGTGCGATCACTGAGAAAAGGCTCACAGTGTGACCCGCAAAACCACCCGGAAGCAAATTCAGGGGTGGTCACAGACGTCATATGGTGTTATCAGTGGGATTTGAACCCATGCCTCCAAAAAAAAGACCAGACCACTTGTGTACAGTACGTCACAGAACAAAGAGAGACCAGACCGCTATTGTACCTCATAGAGCTTGACGATATCAGGCACGTGGTCCTTCTCTTCCAGCTTCTGCTGGCGCTTCAGAAGCACGTCCATGCAGTGGCGACAGCAACGGATACGGTCTTCGTCCTTCTCCTCCAGCACCGAGCTCACGCTACTCAGGCTGCTGATGCTTCCACGGCGGGAGCTCTGCACGCTGACACTGGATGACTGGCCGGGGCTACCTGGGGCACACAGGGCCTCCCTGGTGCCGCTTGTTAGCTTGTCTGACATGGGAAAAGCACCACAGCTCTAACCAACAACCAACAACTTCCACCTCAGCCTTCATCAGCTTGAATACAAGCATCTGGTAAAATAATAACCCCCCCCCCCATCATTCAGAGAAAACCAAACAGAGCATGTGCCTTCTCTAATTTTCTCTGATCTGTTTGGTGGTTGAGAAATAATTAAGCAAAGTATTTGTTTAAAAAAAAGAACTAAAATGAGACACAAACTAATGTTTATATGATTGTATCCAGGTGGTTCCAAAGCCTGTGCACACTTAAATACTAACACTAACAAACCCTAATGTACTCAGAAATGGACCTTTTATATACAGTATGCATACCTATTTTCATTAAATAATCCTCCCCTGATGAGCCGGCATTCTAAACCAAAGCAAAAAGGAGATAACTACATGCATGTGCTCCAATACAAAAACAGTAGCAAATTGTGGGTTTATAGATTCATTAAATATTTATTTTCCTTGAATTCTCTGATCATTAATTCTGAGTTCCATCAGTTCCTAATACATTACAGATTTCAGTTCATCATTGAAGAATGAACTTATTCCAATATCTCTTTCTCCTACTTTTTCTTTCTTTTAAAGTCTTTTGTTCTTAGTTGTACTGGTCTTGTAAGTACGGTCTTTGTTGTATGATCTGGCAGGCCAGCTCTACAAAACATCCTTCTGCTCTCCACTCAAATGGGATTATACTACTTCATTTCTGCAAAAGCGCTCTGACAGATATTTTCCTGCTCTATCCAGCAATTCTGATTTAACCCACCATCAGAGCACTTAAATAATCAATGCACTCACCCAAGATGAGGGAAAAGTGGCGTACACATCCAAAATATACCTGATACTTAATATTAGTTAGGACAAACAGTACAATATCTTTCTTCAAACAAAGAACTGTAGGGGTTTAGTACAGATCCACACATTTTGTGCAGGCTGATCCTAAAATATCCTGTAAGGATTTTCAAAAGCAGAATTCAATACAATCTAAGCAACCTCAATGGACCAGCATATCTCTTCTCATATCTCTCTTTGCTATGTGCAGACAACACAGCATACAATGTGAGCAGATGCCCACAGCCAGGCCACAGGTAGGGGCTTCCAGAAAAGGTGGTCACTCACGTGCCAGGGGTAGGGTTACAAACTCCATGCACTTCTTGCACATGATGGATCCACAGAGACGGCAGTGGTGGCGTCTGTTTCGAATGTTGAACTTGTTGCCACAGTCAGGGCAGAATGGCACATCTTGATCATTTACCCACGAAACAACAGACTTTTCAATTGCTAAAGAAGAGAATTATAATAACCAACAGTTAAAAAACAGGGCGACTGAATATATCATTTAAAAGACTGACGAGTCTTCTACTCACCTCTAATTGTGGCAGCATCTGCATTGGTCCTATCGAATGATGTTAACTAATAGTGAGAAGGAAATACAAGACTTATGTATTGCTTAATGAACACATTTTCACATTTGTCACTTCTCATTATATTGATATCATAAATGTAATTCTTAGGGAAGAAAGCAGATCTGTACAAACTAGATAAGTACATGTAAAACTGTGACTGTGATAGTTCATCCTTTAGTGTATTGTATCACATAGTGTACTGTATCGGCTACACTGAAACACCAAGAATTAAAATCTACACCTGGATGAGCCGTCAAAGACATAATGGTTTACATACAGTATAAACATACTTTTTAAAATATTTTAATTTGTAGCATCTAGATATAATTCATTATTCACAACACAGAGATTGAAAGTTAAAAATGTCTCTGTGCTATAAAAGTGTGTTGATGAAATGTTGTATTTTATCTACCTAGTTTATCTGATGACCCATGAAATTGAAAGTTTGTTAGTCTAACAATAGGCATGAAACAAATTAAGTACAGAACTTGTTTTCGTTTGAGCTACACATCAGAGAATCTCTACAACAACTTTCAGTATTTTATCTCAGGAATGTCAGCAAACCCCTTTACAATGAGTGAAATACCACTCACCTTTTCCAATCTGATTATTAATTTATTTACTTCAATAACGTAGTGGTCAATTCGTGCAGCTCTGTGTTTCTTGAAGCTTTCTAGGTGACATCTGGTTGCACCTAGACATGGGGAAAAAGTATGTTGGCTGAATTATAATGCACTTTATATGGTATAAATGGACAGATCCATTCCTCTAGGATAACCCTAACCCTGGTACTGAGGAAACACAGTCTGCTGGTTTCCATGCCAGTTGACCTCTCAGCTGGTTTTCACTGCCAGGTAATGACTTAATTGATCAGCTTGCTTGTTTAGACTTTTATCAGATTTGTTTCTCCTGTCAATCCTGAGTGTCAAGAATTCTCTACTGCAAAGGGTGCTGTTTCCAACTTCAGCATGCAGAGTTTAGAGTCCCTCCTCAACGGGCTTGCTGTTATTTCTGACTAAACAGCTCTTTTACTTGTTCGTCACTTGATGATGAAAAGACACAGGTGGGAATGACAATGTATAAGACATACTCTGTATCAGGAGTGAAGTCCAATTGGTTATATTCAGTGGGAAAATACAGGTAGAGGGTTGACACCAATTGTAGATCCCATTTGATCTTTAATGATCCGAAAGCAAAGTTATAAACATGCCGCAAATAGAAAACTGAACTCCATTAGCTAGTGTTTTAAGGACAATTAAAACAGAGCAAAAAATGACACAGTGTTCCTCCAGGACCACTGAGAACCACTGATCTAGGGCTACAGGGTTCTTTGGTCTTACCTACACAACTATCTGATTATTTAGATAAAAACAGCTTGTTTTGTATGAATTACTAATGAAAAAGTAACAACGAAATGTGCAGGGCTCCAGCAAATGAAAGACTTCTACTTTTACACTTGTGAACCATCATAAGGTTATCTGCTTGGCAAGTAATTCACAACAACCGCAAACACAATAGTGAAATCTGTATTTGCAGCCTAATTTTTTATTAAACTATATGTAATGTAACCATCACCCACAAGTATTAAAACACATAAAGTGTTAATAAAAGAACCTAAATTCTACAAGTAAAAATACTGAATTTATCTCTGTAGTCCACCTGTGCCCGGTGGTTAAATAGTCATTAAATACAGTGATCTAATGGTTCAAGCATTTTTCCTTTTAAAAATTCATTTCGACTAACAACCTCATTGACTTATTTTGAAGCATCATCAAACTGAGTTAATCGATTCAAACCGTCACTCTCCTTTTTGCAGCGATATTTCTTTTTGCAAAATTCCTCACCCACTATTAGTGCTATATGGAGGCATGCATTTTAGTTGCACTGGCAAGTGCTTCATATGATTTGTATATTTTCCCGTTTTAATACATATTTTGAACAGGTCAGCTATACAGATACTGACCGCAGGGCCTTAGTTACCAGTGTTTCAGTCTTACCCAGTTCTTGGGGTTCCCACATATATGGATCAACTCCTCCATAGTAGAAAGACTCATAGCTCCCAGATTCAGCTCGGTCTTCCCCATCCCGCTTCAGGAGCTTGTCTTTGGCTTTCTTGGCTTTCTGCACCAGACCTTACAGGAGAGGAGAGACACCCGGAGGATTGCTTTGTTGTTACACACCTTGACGAGATGGCTGACCCCAGCTGATTTTACTGAGCTTTGTTCAATCGACATTTCAGTCAGGAGTCCTTCATTAGATAAGAGGAAGTAGCAGAAATGCCATGAATGAAGGTATAAATGGCTGAGTGAGAAAACAGTGTGAGAATTGAATAAAATAGGGAAACCCAGGCAGCAAATAAGCCTGAAATGCATGGAGGCTGTTGTCATCCAAGGATGTCTCTCTTATTATGTTTAAAATAGTCATGAAGCCACGCCTTCACTTCACCCCTGTCTCAACATGGCAACCTCCAGACCTACGTCCTGCTTCCAGAAACCCTGAACTTGCATATGCTGAAGAACCAGAAGGCAGGGCTTAAAGCAGATCCGAAATGAAATGGATCGACTAGTCTTTAAACAGCCCAAACTACTGCAAATTATTTTCTTCTGTCTGAACGCACAACAGACCCAAAAAAGTAATAAGTAATGTTTGATCAGGACACACGCTAAAGAAAGTCTGGCATTAGCTTGTTTGAGCAGGACACCTGCTTATAAAAGTTTGACATTAGCTCCTCTCTCACAAAAAGAAAAAAGATCAACTGCAACCTCAGCTGGAGAAGAAAAAACAAACGTTGAGGATTAATTAATAAAAATTCCTTACACTTACATAGTGCTTGACAGATAATAGGGACTCCATTACCACCAATATGTAGCCCCCACCTGGATGATGCAACAGCAGCCAAAGTGTGCTGGTACACTCACCACACATCAGCTATCAGTGGGGAGGAGAATAGAGTGATGAAGCCCCATAGATGGGGATTATGAGGCCATGAATGGTAAAGACCAAGGATATTTGCCCAAGACACAAGTGTACATCCTGAGATTTTTAATCACACAGTGTCAGGAACATGGTTTTACATCTCATCCAAAGGACAGTGCCTTTTTTATTTATTTTTTTACACTGTCCCCATCACTATAATGGGGAATTAGGAGCCACACACACTGTAGGGTAAGCACCCCTTACTGGTCCCACTTACACCACTTCCAGCCTCAACCTTAGTTTTTCCCAGGAGGTCTCCCATCCAGGTACTGGCCAGACTTACACCTGCTCAGCTTCAGTGAGTTGTCAGTTATGAGTTGCAGGGTGATAGAGCTCCTAGCCTAACCTAACATAAGGTTTTAAAGCTAGCTCTTACTTTTTATCTGTCCCTTGACGTCCCTGTCTTCCCCAGAGTGCTCGTCCTCATAGTGTGCCTGGAGCTGGTAGAAGGACTGCAGGTCCTTCAGGCACAGCGGACAGAGAAAGCCTTCCCTCACCTCCCCCTGTTCCTCGAACGGAGGTGGGTAGCTGGATGCCATTTTTGAAATGCGGGCTGCTGGTAGACAAAAGCTGTGGAGAAACGGAACTGCTGGTGCCAGAGAGAGGCTCTCCCAGAGCAATATGGCTGCCTCATAGTGCTCCAAGCCGGAGGAAAACTTTAGCCTTTAGGTCTTCCATGGCCATAAGCCACCCACATAGAACCTAAAAAAACATCAACACATTCAGTAAAAATAACCTACATTTTCTTTATGAGCTACTGCATTCATGATTTTCTTACTTTTAAAATATTCAATATTTTACAGTGTGGGTGATAAGCACAGGACAGGTCGAATGAAGAACTTGTGTTGGGACAGTGTAAAAATGCTTTAAAATCAGAATTCAATAAGGCATTCAACAATCAGACAGCACTGTCCTGCTTAGACAGCAGTTTCATTTTTGCAACATTAAGTATTAAAACAGAAACAAATGCTTCTATGCATTACATTTTCCAATTGGGAGTTTTCCAATTGTTCTCCAAGTGGGAGTGTGAGTCATTTACTTCCTGCATTGCACTTCCATTATGGAATTATATCAGGAAACCTTAAATGGATAAACCAGTCAAGAAAGCATGTTTTTAACAGTAAATACAAATAGTTAGTTTTCAGCTTGTGACTATGATGTAACTAGAATCACAGACATTTCACTACCACTGCAATAATTCAGTATTAATATTTTTTCAGTACTGCTGTATCCAACTAAAATTAAATAATGAGATCGAAGTAAATTATTGTTTTAGCAAAAATGTGAAACTCTTAAAACATGATACAGAAATGGTTTATACACAAAAGTAACATTTCACTGAGCTGTTTACCATGAAAATAAATGACAACAAGAACTCTTTAATATAGAGTATTAAAATAGTTTAAACATACAGGACACAGAAGTTTGAGAAGTTCTATGGATACCTGAAAAAAACTAATTCTGACTGTGTCAGGCACTGTGGAGCTCAATTAGTTCACTCAATTAATGAGTAAGGATTGGTAAAGGATTTGTTGCCAATAGCCAAGTTTTTTTTTAATTGGTAATTAAAAATTGGGATGTTGTATTATAAACACTAATTGGCAATTCCAGATTAAAAACAAATCAAGGCAATGGTTTAGAAATACACCACACAACTCTTGGTCTGTTTTCTCCTAATCTGCTTGATTTAATAGCACTATAAAGTCTTCCTTATCTTCATCACAGACTAGAAAAAAAAGAGACAGCTGCTCTTAATTTAACATTGTCCCTGTTATATTTAATCCCTTGGGCCTGCAATCAGAAATCAGAGCTGCCAGGCTTCAGCACATATTAAAAGGGTGCAATATAATAAATTCACTAACAGCAGCGGGGAACAGTATACTAGAACAGAAAAGGTCGTACAGATGTTAAAAGCCTCAGCTGAGTTTCTCATAATGAAACGCTTGTAAGGTCCACACCTCTCAATGGCTTCTTAATGGCCTTCTTTTGACGGGAAACGCAGGCGTGTAGGCACACCCAAAGAAATTAAAACAATTTAATGTTTATTCTATCAGCTGAAGTGTTCAGTGTTTTAACTCAAAACAGCATGTCAATACTGTTTTAAAATTTGAAAATGCAAAAAGAAAAACCATTTAGCGAAAAGCGCTACACAAAACCGTTATAATCACGAAAGGCCAGGACGGCTGCTCCAAACGAGCACAATTTGAAGGAGGTAGCAGGAGGCTTGATTCGTACTCTTCGGTCAGTTACCGAGAGGTATGGGGTGGCCGATTGGATTTGTTTCACTTGGTGAATACTTCACAATATCGCCTCCTTAAAGAGTCGTGCAAATCTTCTGTAACCCTCAACACAACATGGTTACTCTCTGTGTGAAATAAGGCTTGAAGGCTTAAAAAAATGGAGACGAACAAGACAAGTAAGTAGTCCTTGACTGTCGATTGCAATAAGGACGTGTTCTCGGATGTCTTGGGATCCGCTGTTTCTTAAGCGTTTTGTTTTAATCACTATACTTTTAGATGATTTTATACTCACTCACTAAAACCACAAAAACAATCTAAAGATCTATTATCAACCCTCACGAAGCATTTCGCGTGGCATGTTTAAAAGCATATAATCATTAATGTTTTGGGTCTATAGTAACATTAAATATATATGACAAAGACAAACTCTTGATGGGATTTAATCAAGTTTCATTTACAAAATGTTATTGGTTAATCGTGTAACAGAAACAAACACTGTGTTGCAAACGCAGTAATTAAAGAGACATAATCGGTCTAGTTTCAGCATCAGAATACCTGAAAAATTAATCAAACCGATAAGGAAAACCTTAGTGTTCTTTCGCTGAACTGGATCTGTTACTACACAATGCAGAAATCACACAACAGAAAATAACCCGATCCAGGCGAGAAAAGCAGTCATCCGTCGTACATACAAAACGGATCAAGTAATCGAGGCGCTAATACTCACAAATCACGCTGTGTAGATCTTTTTTACTGATAGTACAGTATATTTTGACAGGTGCCGATCGCTGGCTACATAGAATACACTCTCCACAGGTGAAAGGTTACCCACGGCCCTGCCAGTCACATGACGTGCCACGTGATTACAGTGCAGCGCAGTGTAGCGGATAGGAAGGCAAAGAGGACATACAGCACTAAAACATATTTTCTGGGGTCTTCTGTTGCATGTGGATTAACAGTTGATCTACATATCATGTATGACTTCTTTCAGAAGGAATGTTTGCATTAGAATACATCTGCTTACCAACAATTCTTGTTGGTAAGCAAATTATACATGGCATTTTTTTTATATATTTATTTTTTATTTTAGTCTGAAAAATTCATCATCAATTGCTGTGTGGCTCAGTTGCACAGTGGTTTGTATTGCTGTCTCACAGTGCTGGGGCTTAAAAAGGGTACATTACATTTTGTACCCTTTAAAAAGGGTACATTACATTTTTACATCTCTGGCTTAAAAAGGGTACATTACATTTTTTTTGTCAAAACAGGATTTCAAAATTTCTGCACTGTACTGTATATCTCGCACTGATGTAATTCGGTTAATAACCTTTTTGGTTATAACCCTGGAAACAGTATTTTGTACAGTCTGGATAAAAATGACTTGGAATGTCAGAGAATATGACATTCTATTAAACAATAAGGAAAGGAGAATATCTAATTTTGCAGTATTGTCAGGGTAATACAACGATTTAGTTATTGCTTATAATATGAAGTTCAAAAGAAAGAACTGTGTCGACAATTACACTTGTGAGGCTGTCATCGGTTCCTGCAAAGCACTGCTTAGTTTTTTTTCACCCAGCATTGTTTCTACATTTGTTTTATCCACTTTAATATTTTTAAACATCTATTGCTTAAAATCAGCAAGAACACCAATCATTTTGGGTGATTGCCTTTTGTAATGTAATGAACATGCTACTTTCATTCTTCATTTGGTCATATTCATACTGATCCCTCTAATTATTAAATAATTCCAGAGATAGATGCAGAAAAAATTGGAACGATGGAGTGGATTAGTGGTGTCAAGTTGGCCTGATGTTTTGTAATGAAACTAACAGGTAAGCATTCTCAAGCAGATGTTTAAACACGTAAGACTGAGAGAGCCCCTTAAACTCTATAGCAGGAATGCCCATATCCAGTTTTACAGGGCTGCTGACTCTCAAGGTTTTCATTCCAGCGCAGGTTTTAACACCCAAATTGAACTAATCATTGGATTATTTGCAGTAGTTTTGCAGCAGTTTACCATCTTTGTCCCTCCAAGCCTGAACTTGGGCACCCCTGCTCTGTGGTCTACATGGGGTATATCCTATCCTGGCCCCGCAGGGCCAGTGTGTCTACAAATACTTGTGGATGCATTCTCCACTTTCTTCCCACAGTCCAATACATATTAAAGGTGAGCAAAAGGTGGTTATAAGACAATTCTTGTTGGTAAGCAAATTATACATGGCATTTTTTTTTATATATTTATTTTTTATTTTAGTCTGAAAAATTCATCATCAATTGCTGTGTGGCTCAGTGGCACAGTGGTTTGTATTGCTGCCTCACAGTGTTGGGGCCCTGGGTTCAATTCCAGACTTGGGGAGCTATCTGTGTGGAGTTTGTACTGTATGTTCTCGCCAGGTTCATGTGAATTTCCTCTGGGGTGCTCCATTTTCCTCCCACAGACCAAAGACATACTGATAGACTAACCGGATTCTGGGAAAACTGGCCCTGGTGTGAGTGTGAACGTGCACATGGGTCTGTGTGTACCTTGAGATGGACTTGCATCCCGCTCAGGGGGCATCCTGACTTACACCCCTTGTTTTCCAGATAGTGTCCAGAAACCCTGTATTGGATACAGCAGTGAGACAATTGATGGATGAATATTTGATGTGACCAGTTCATTCATTACCAGCTTGTCCCAGCTCTTCATTCGTCAGCCTGCAGAACCAGGATTAAAGAACCCTGGTCTAGACACATTGGCAAAACTAGAGGGAAACAAAAAATCTACTACACAGCACGTGCCTGAACAGATATCACATTTGTTATTATTGTTTGTTATCACTCCTCCTTTTTTCTTGTATTATTGTTATTTTGGTTATCCTAAAATTTATCACTGCAGATAGAACTCACCAGTGTGTGTTTTGTCTTTTGACTTTTTTCAATTTTTTAAAAACCCCTGTTAGCCTTTTTTATTGTTTTTTTTCTTTTCCACTTTAAGAGCATAAGAAAGGTTGCAACCAAGAGGAGACTATTCAGTACATCTAGCTTTGTCTGGTTGTTTGAGAATCTCATCTAGCCATTTCTTGCAAGCAGCTAAGGGCAGGGACTTGAGTTGTTTAAGATTATGCTAAAATGTGGAGACTGTGGACCAGGAGCTGCTACTCTTTCTTTTTTTTAAATGAAAGTCCTGCTTAATCCAGTGTCTTTAAATCTTGTTTTGTGCTTTATTTAGTTGGAACCTTGGCTCATCTCATGCTGAGTCATCCTTTCCTGTTTTTTCCAGCTAAGGCTTCTGGGAGATGCTTCATTTGGTCCAGGTTAAAAACTTCTTCCTCCTTTGTGCTCATCAGTGCTGCCATCTGGAGTCTCCCTCTTTAGGAATTTAAACCAGCAACCTTCCAGCCACAGGTGCAGATCCTTAGCCACAGTGCCACCGATAATATGGGAAATCAAAAGTTGGCCTGTGTTATAGTTTTTGTTAAGTGTTGATTGCAGCCGGTCTTATACAACCTTGCATTATACACATTTTTTTTATACTCATAATGAAGGTTGACTTGACAACTGCGTCTCTGTCTGTCCAATTTAATTGGAAGTCTTATTCCAATTAAAAACCCTTTATTTCTTCTTTAAATGAAATTTTGTGTTTATTGAGCATTAAAATTGATTTTCTATTGTGAGGGTTGTTTTCTCGTCTCACACCTGAAACACTGCCTTCTTGTCGAAGACGGTTCCTGATGAAGTCAGCCTGCAAATCTCTACTAATGAGGAGTGCAAAATCATAACAATGTGAGTTCTTCACGGAATATAAAAGGATTTGTATTTTGCACTGTTCGTATTAAGCAAACTTATCGTTTTGTGCAGCATGATGCATTGTGGAAATTTCTTTCCACAGAAGTACATCCAAGAGAGGCGTCATGTCTCACTGACACTCAGAACCTAAGTTTTCCACAGAACAAGTCCACAGCAATTCTGACAGGGCAGAGTAATGAAGAGAGCGTTTTGTTAATGAAATGGATAATGCTGGGTTTACTCTACATGTGGTTGGGAGGGTAAGAGGTTGTTGATGAAACCCTCTGTGAAGGTGGGGAGAACAAAACAAACTTCACGCAGGCAAGAGCCTCCAACTGGATTTCAACTGGAATGAAGTTAAGGATCCTGGAGCTGTGGCAGTGGTACTAACCACTGTGTTAGCCGAGCTGGAACAAATCAATAAAACTCCTGATGAATTGAACAGTATTCCGTCATACAGTACGTGCTGATCTTGTGGGTTCTGCATGATACTTTCTCCATTTATTTTTATACACTTACACAGACCCAAGATTCTGAATTTGACTGGGTTTGTCCTGAAAAGTTTAGAGTTGTAATCTAAGAATAAATCCTCTATCTAACCTGCACTCATTGTTTGGATTTGGAAATACAATTATGGTTAGAAAGGGACGATACATTTTGGTCTTAACTGAAAATGGCTGCTTTCCAAAGGCTTCTTGAGGAGATACACTTTAACTAGTTTACACTTTATAAATGCGCCTTTTAAAAACTGGAAATCCAAAGGAGACTTGTTGAAATGGTCTGTGGCTGAGAAAATATGAGCAGCTGGAAACATTATTGGAGCATCCCTTTCTTCCATTCATGTCATCTTTCACAAACACTGTATGCACAAGGCTTCCAGTATAGTAGATGACCCCCCCCACCCCCACCCCTCCCATAAATTCTTTGCTCTCCTACCATCTGGAAGAAGATATTGCAGTATACGGGCTCGCTCCACCAGATTCTGTAACAGCTTTTTCCCACAGGCTGTTAGGCTTCTCAACACCTGGGTACTTACTTGCACCCACTCCAATTCCAGAAACAAGGTTTAAAATCCCCCCAGTGTTTAGTGTATATTGTGTGATGTATTGTTTTATACTATTCTGCAACAGTTAAATTACACCATGTATATAACCTGTGTACATGGCCACTGTCTTAGTTTGCACAATCGTATGTATTAATATTAGCATTGCTAGTCCTGTCTACATTGTCCATGTCAGTGTCTTATCTGTAATTGCACCGTGGACCAGGAGGAATGATATTTTGTATACTGTATACACTGTATACTTATATATGGCTGGAATGACAAACTTGAACTTGATCTCTGTCTATATAACCTATATAAACTCTTCTTCAACCACTGGGTGGCAGCATTGGTTCAAGTTGCAAAAGGCTGCCACTGTGAAGCACCACTGAGGTGTATATACGTGAGCTGGTGGAATTTAAAAAGCCCCATCAATCATTTTAGACCCCAGACCAATTTCCGCTTTTCTGTCCTGAAGACCAGCAATAGGTGGTAATAATATAATTTTTGTTTGGCAAGGCAAATGATACTTGGCATTTTTAGAGTTTTCATGGTATTTGATCTGCGTGCTTAGGATAAGACAGCAAAGCAACAGAATTCAAAACTATGCTTCTGAAATTGCATTGAGCTTGTAAGGAATAATGTTAAACTACTGAATGCTATCATTTGTGGCTTTGTACTAAGAAGAAACTGTTGGAACTTTTGTTAACTGAAAATAGAGCTTTTCAGATACCATGTATCTGATGTACAAGATTTCATCATTCTTTTTTGTCTTAAATATCATATCATAATAATTGCTGCCAGGAAGCATAGTAGTACAGTCATTAGCATTGCTGCCTCACAGTGCTGGTTTAATTAATGACCTGGGGTGCTATCTGTGTCAAGTTTGTATGTTCTCCCAGTGTTTGCATGTTTCCTCCCAGTGTCCAAAGACATACTGGTAGGTTAATTGGCTTCTGGGAATATTGCTCTTAGTGTGAGTATGTGCATGTCTGTGTGTGCCCAGCAATGGGCTGGTGTCCC